ATTTAACTCAAATAAACTATGTCGTGGGAAGTTTCTTGGAATAACTGGGAGGTAACTATATATAATAGGGACGCGGGTGGCGCTGGGCGTTAAACCACAGAGGCTAGGACTTGCCGATCAGAAGGTCGGTGGTTCAAATCCCCACGACAGGGTGAGCTTCCGTTGCTTGGTCCCTGCTCCTGCCAACCTAGCAGTTCGAAAGCACGTCAAAGTGCAAGTAGATAAATAGGTACCGCTCCGGCGGGAAGGTAAACGGCGTTTCCGTGTGCTGCTCTAGTTTGCCAGAATTGGCTTAGTCATGCTGGCCACATGACCCAGAAGCTGTACGCTGGCTCCCTCGGCCAATAAAGCGAGATGAGCACCGCAACCCCAGAGTTGGCCACGACTGGACCTAATGGTCAGAGGTCCCTTTACCTTTACCTTTACCTTTAACTATATATAGCAATTTATCAGGTTCTTCGTCCAGGAAGGGAGTGGAGGATGGAGGTCCTATTTCCTCCCCAACAATGAGGAAGGTAAAAGAGAAACAATAACAGCAATAACCAATCATACTGGTGTGGGATCTTTTTTTTTTTTTTTTACAAAGCTAACTGGTTGGAAGTGACTTTCATCAGAAAATGACCAGCTACCTTCAGTAATAAAACACATTATGAATTGTGGGACATATTTTGCTCTCCATTACGATCCATTGTAAACAGTACCCTTCTTTATTCTGCTCAACTTGGTGATTTAATTGAATTATGTTAAGAGCTCTGAGAATCAAAATTAAGAAAGCAAGATCAAGCTGACTTGACCAAAAAAAAAAAATTAATCTGATTGCAAAAAAGTATAAAAGATCTTAAATGGAAATTGTTCTTAGTATTACTAATGTACAGAACGTGATTTGATCACATTATTATTATTACCCCAATGAATTGATTTAGACACGCATTATGTTCATTCGCAGAAGTTACACATCTGCATATAAACCATTTTAAGTACAGGGTAACAGGAACTCCCTTTAAAGAGTAACAGGAAATGGCAAATACAAACGCATGGTGAAATCATTTGGTTACAAAAGGAATGCTCAGCTCTTTAATGGCCTAATGCATGCTAGAATAGTGTGGGGTAATTTGCTCAACACCTACTTAAGCAGAAAGCAGCAAGGAGGGGTGAGTCTTTCCTTCTCTTAGAGAAGGAAAGCAATCTATTGCATGTCAGAAGAGCATCAGGGACCCTTTAGAGATACGGTAAGGCAATGTGCGTGGCTGGGTGCAGATGAAAGAGAAGCATCAAGCATATTTCTAAAATCACATTTAAATTCATCAGGTGTCACTTAAAACATTTATATCCTGCCCCTCCTGCCCATTTGTGATGGTTTACGCCCCCCCCCACCCTCAAAGAACAAAAGTACCACTGAAAAAATGTTACTCCAGAACAATCAAAGATGCGCTAATGAAATGCTCAGGTTACTGGAAAGGCTTGCAGGTTCCAAATGCAAAGACCTGGGCATTTATTTATCTGTGGGAGAGGATCTTAGGATCTGGCTTGATTTTCTTTGTGCGAATGGCTTCCAGGAGAGAAAGATGTGTTTCCTGTTCACACAGAAGCTACTTAATAATACTAGTAGTAGTAGTAGGGGAAGCAGGCGTTCAAAGAACAAGCGATCACATGAACATATGTGTGTAAAACAGGCCACAGCCATGATACATTGAAAGAGAGCTTTCAACTATTTTGTGTAAAACCTAATTGTAAGAAATCAATCTTTTAGTGTAGCAGCACTCCCTGCCCACTGACACCTTCCCTGTACTTTTTTCAGTGCCTGCTAAAAACACTTTTGTTTAGGCAAGCCTATCCATGTTAAGTTGTGGGTGAACATATCAGACGACACAGCGATTCTTCAAACAGCTCTTGTTTATTCACAGGCCAGAACTGAACTGAACTGAAGGGTTCAGCCAGCCTGCTTATATAGAGCTCCACTAGAACGCAACAGTAACCATTTTCTGTAACTATCCAATCACTGAACGTCACTTTCGATCCCTTATTTGCATACGTGGACCTGAGTGAAAACTATCTACACTATCCCCCTGCTGGCCCAGGGGGAGAACTTCAGTACATAACAATCCAGATATGTAGAATGCTGACATTTAAACCTGCTTTTTAGTGTATCATTGATTTGAATTTTTGGTGGAAAGTTTTAGATAGTTTTTAAAAACTTTTTTTACTGGTAATTTCATTGCTTAGTTCTTTTTCTAAACTGATTTGAGTTTGGTTGTTTTTTACAATCAAGTGCTACATACATGCGATGAAATAAATTAAAAGGGCAGGGGAGAGGCAGATGTTCTATGCCTGTGCCGAAACAGGAGTCCTGTTTTCAATAAATGGTTTGAACCCCCCCCCCCTTTGAGTAATCTTTCAGGAAAGAGCAGAAACAAATGTTCAGCTCATTATTTCCGTGCAGCACAATTCTCTTGGCAAGACATGGAGAGATGGGGGAAAGGACTACACTCTGCATATTGCCTCTGATTGCCTCCTTTAAAGTAGACATTGTATCCATAGTGTAATATTATGCATCATCTCTGCATCCTCTCTAAAGTAGGCAAGCCACAGTAAAGTGCCCAGCCTGATCCCATCCCCCTCATCTGGCAAATGTTCTGCCAAGAAAAGAGCATGGGTTTGGGATTTTGCAGCAAAAGAGAGGTTTTGTTTTTCAAAAAGAGCACCACTTTTCAAACAAAACTTTCCACTCTGAAAAAAGTGTTGTTTCACCAGGCTAGTGAAGGCTGGCATAAAATGTTGTCAAGGTGTATCTCCCAGCCTGACTCCTGGGTAAGTTTAAAAGGCACAGGCAACATGGATTGATGCCATAGCATCAAAGGGGGTGTTCTGGGATCTCACTCCACTTACGCCCACAGTGTTACAAGCACAAGTTGCAATGAGTTAGTGAGTCAAACAGGGATTACTCATAAGGAAATAGGTTGGAGGCGCTGGCAGACTTTGGGGTCTCAGATTTCAGTGGCACCCTGTGCAATGCCAAAATTTGGTGACACCACCCCTCTCCCCGCTTCTCGCTCTCCATTCTAAATGGAATTCTGGCACCGAGGGCCTTCTCGGTGGTGGCGCCCGCCCTGTGGAACGCCCTTCCCATCAGATGTCAAGGGAAAAAAACAACTATCTGACATTTAGAAGACATCTGAAGTCAGCCCTGTTTAGGGAAGTTTTTCATGTTTTACTCTGTTTTTAATCTGTTGGAAGCCACCCAGAGTGGCTGGGGTAACCCAGCCGGATGGGCGGGCTATAAATACTAAATTATTATTATTATATTATGGGCACCCAGCGAGACCAAACTAGTCGCACCCCCCTAAATCCACCTCTGTGGTGGGAAGCATATCTTTAAGAAGGGCAGATAGTGCTTGGCTGATGGCATATTAAGATAAACTAGAAAGTATACTTGGGGGTGGGGAGGGAGAGCAATAAATAATAAAAATCCCATCTCTAATTGCTGCATTTAGCTGTAGCTGGATAACAATCTTCACAATGAATAATCCCTGTCCTAAACCATAGTATATGAGTTATGGTAGAGTTCCCTGTATATTTTATTAACCACATGCTGCAAATTTCATTAGCTCTTCAAGGGTCTGTGGCCCTTTAAGTTTTGATAAAGACAGGCACAAGTAACTAATATGGCATCTTTATATAAAATAATTGATGCCATTTCCTAGAGAGGCGTTATGAAGAATAAATGGCTTTTGAATGCACAATGCACCCTCTTCTACAAGATTCCTCCTTCTCCCTACACAGCTTTGAAGAATTAACACTTTTACATTCTTGATCTAAACTCTAAAGAAAGGTGTCTTAGAAACCAAGGGAGATAATGCAAAGGTTTCCTAATAGTATAGTTGGATATGAAGACTGTAGGTTTTTCTTGGCTACAGTTTTCCTGCTTCAAATCATTTAGAGAAGCAATTAAAATGCAAGTGATATAAAATTTGCATAATTTTGTAGTGAAGATATGTCTTTTTTAAAAAAATAATCGGTGTAGCTAGCGCAGGGGACTTCAAGATGGAAGTGGGGACATTTGCCTCTTGGGGACTTTTTGAGTTTATTAAATAAATGCAGAGACCACTACCAAAATCAGTGGTGGAGCAAAAAGTTTCACAAATCGTTATTTCAGCAATTGGGAAATTGTGGGGTGTGCTGGGCACTAAAAGCTTTTAATGTTTTAAAATATTAGAAGATACTGCCACCTAAAGGTGTTTTGACTGTTGTGCAGCTGTCACTTTTTACAACATATTTCACACCAAGTGTTCAACAACCACTTTTGCAAGGTGGAAAAAAGCATATGGCCATATATAGCAGGTCTGGAGCACCCCAAAGTCCATGGAAGGGTCAATGGGGACTGTGCTTTGAAAACTGTTGGGATTCAGACACAGAAGTGATACAGGCATTGTCTACTTGCTGGTGGAGAAAGATCAGAGTTGGAGTATTTTGCTTCATTTTGCTTCCAAAACTAGTGCAGTTAATAAGGGACTTCGGAAGTAAATGAAGGACATGCTCGTGCTGTAAGAGAGAGCCACTCTATGGATGTCATTTCCCCCAGGCAATAGACTTTTCCCCACTGTCAGGACTTTCCAGCTGATACAACAGCAAAGCTCGGGCTGCAAGATCTACTACAAGAGCCTTCAGTTGTTGCCTTGCTGGTGCAATATCTGTCTTATCCAGCTCCTTGTTTCTTGCCTTATTTTCTTCTCCAATGGTTTCAGCAATTGTGTTCCAGAATTAGTGCTAGTCTTCCCTAAATGGACAGCTCCCCCATATCCCTTGCAAGTCTGTGTCTCCAGACCAACCAGTTCATGTATACCCAGGGCTCTGTAGAAATCTGACTCTGTAACCTTGCTATTCTCCTGCCCCTTGCCCCAGACAATGTTGCGTGAATCCGTATATGGACAAAAGTTTCCAGCACCTACATTTTCCACCAAGAACAGCCAACAAATCTGAAAATCCAACTGTTTTTATTTAATTGCTATAGTTTGTGAAATATCATTTTATAATATACATTAGGCAGGTACATTTGTTTGCTTACTTGTGCAGTATGTGTACATAAGTATCGCATTGATGTAAGTAATCCCACTTATTTTAAAACATTGTGTGAATACATGCAGCCTGACTTGTATGAGTAGAAATACGTGATTGTAGAATACGTGTAGCGTTTTGCAGGAATTATAATTTCCCACACACAATTTAACAGTTACGTAGTATAAAAATTACTTCCATGTGTGGGCATGTAATGGGAGGGGCAGCCATGATATATTCAATAAGAATTAATTTAGACTCAAATGGATTGACTCACCATGCCTTCTCTGATACTTCTTTAAAACAAAACTCAGTCTTAAACAACCACAACATATCTTGAACTGGTTACCTGAAGGATGTCATTCAGGGATTGAATCTGTGCACTATCAGCAAGCTCTGGCCAAATAATGAACAGGAGAGACCAGTCACAAAATACAGCAAGTCAGGTGTTGTTCTTTGATCTGTACAAAAACCTCCAGGTATGGTTTACTAGCCAGTCTGTACAATTAGAAGACCAGCTTTTACTGGCTACAGGTCACCTTTGCTTTGTCTTTCTCTGCAAAGGAGCTGAATCTGACAGTTTGTTGTTAGCCATGTTGCAACACAAGGCCCATATCTCATGATAAACTATTCTGGGCAACTGGACTCTTTCCTGGTCCCAAAATGTATTTTTGAATAAGGGGGGGGGGGGGGTAACAACAAAGCATTCATAGATAAAGAGAAGTCCATGGCTCTTTTTTTTTATGATGGCCCCAACAGCTACCAAAATAACATGCTAACTAATCAGTCAATAAAGCTAAGCAGTAAAGGTACAAATCTTTTCTCCTTTAACTATTATTGAAGACTTTCCAGTTGCAATATTTATTCCCGCTAAGAGCATCAAGAGGATACACAAATGGGAAAGCTTCACAGTTAAAAGTGTTAAATAAAGGTGGCTATAATGATGAATATTTTGTAGTGTTACACTTCCTGGAAAATTGTATTGCGACAAGAAAAATAGCGAACTGTAAATCACTTGGGTTCACTAGTGTCTGTGATCGTCACTTGAATAATGTCATTAGTGGTGCCTGTGACGTTACTGTAAGATGGAGGAATAGATACTGGAGATGGGCTGTGGGAGTTACTTGACTGACTGTCTTCGTTTTCACTAAGTGTGACTGCAGACCCACCTTCCTCCTCATGTATGCATTCCAAGGGGGTGCTGTTGCAGGTTTCCTGACAGACTTCTTTCACTGCTTGGTGAAGGAGATACATCCTGAAAGCCCTCTGGATAATGGCAGCAGATTCCTCCTCTTTTCGCTTGGGAGTCGTTATAATGGGTTCGTTGGCAATCTTCTCTGGATACTTTTCTTCGATCTGGGTCTCAAGTGGACCCATGTCCCCATATTCTCCCAATACCCTTTTGGTAAAAGCAAACAAAATATCCAAGCAGTGGATTTTATTTCCGTTTACCATAGGAAGGTCCATTAACATCAGCTGTTGCCTGTTAGGTTTGGGTATGCGCAAAGGTTCTGCTAGAGCATCAGCAAAGTCTGAAAGTGCGAAGTAAGAAATAAATTGGGTTGCGCGAGGATCAAATTTTGCCCAAATCTCATAAAAAATTTCAAAATCATCGTCACCTAGAGGTTCTGTGCTTTCCTCCGTGGCAACATTCAAGTTCTCTATGATGACAGCAATGTACATGTTAACTACAATGAGGAATGATATAATGATGTAGCTTACAAAATAGGCAATTGCCACACTCCTGTTTACGCAGGGACCATTTCCACCTAAATTGGGAGCACAAGTGATATTCTCAGTGTTCAGCATTGGGTTGAGAAGGTCATGCCAGCCAGCAGATGTTGTTATTTGGAAGAGACAAAGCATACTGCTGCCAAAGGTTTGGAAGTTGAAAATGTTGTCAATCCCACCTTGCCAGCTTGCACAGGCAAAGTTAGACATACCAAAAATAGCATAAATAAACATGATCAGAAAAAGGAGAAGCCCAATGTTGGTGAGAGAAGGAAGGGACATCAGTAATGCAAAAAGGAGGGTCCGAAGCCCTCTGGCTCCTCTGATAAGTCTCAGTAGTCGACTAACACGGGCTACTCGAATTATTCTCAGGATTGTAGGAGGGAAATCAAGTGCTTTTCGAAGTTGTCCAGCTGCAGAACCTATTAAAATAATTCATTTTTTGAAAAATTCAGCAACAATGCATTTTTATTTCCAGTTTAAGCTAAGCCAAAATTAAATATTTAGGTCTATATTTAGGCTGCACTAAAATAATTGTTATGTGAATGCCTGTTTAGAGGACAACAATGGCTGGCTCCAGCGAGATGTGACGGAGCTCTTGCAAGATCTCGCAGAGTGCACAAGATCTCCTGCCACTACCACTACAAGTGGCATCTTGGATGCTGTAGGGGCAACATCTCTTGGTGTTCTGCCACCTGTATTAGCCCATCTCATGAGCAGGCAGGCCCTGGATCTATGAGCAAGCATGAGGATTCAGCAAATGGAGCATGTCTATTTACTCAATCTGGACATCCATCTCTCAGACCATATTCTGCACCACATGACATTCTTGCAACCACACAGATTCCTTGATCTCCATAATTTAATACAATTGGCACCTTCTTAGGTATGCAGACTTGGTGCAAGCTCACATTTTTGCATTTGCTTATTGCTGACAAGAAATAACCCTGATGTACATGAACTATTTTTTTTTACTTACTAAGTATTGAAAGAATCACAACCACAAAATCAAATATATTCCAACCGTCTTTGAAGAAATACAGTCGCAAAGCCAACATTTTGATGATGCACTCTCCAGTAAAGATAGCGACAAATACAAGATTTATATTTTCAAGAAGGCTCTTAACAGCTTCCCCTTCCTCTTCATGCTCTGCTGCCATGATCACCACATTCAATAAAATTAGACTTATAATGAAAATATCAAATGCTTTCTTGTTTACAACGTCAAAAAGAAGTCCTTGGTACATGTTCTGTGGCAAAAGAGGGGGGAAAGCAAGAAGCATTGCATTGGCACCACTGACTCACTAATAATTTCCCCTTTTCTTTGAGGCAAATAACATAATTCTGTACTTTTTGGCTGCTTCTCACTGGGGTTTTTAAAAATTTGCTTTAACTTGTAGTATTTGCTTATATGATAAAACTAATTGGTAGCTATGAATGAAAGAAGAAGAGAGGAGGAATCTTTTGCAAGAAAACCAGAAAATTGTCTTTTAAGAGACTATAGGGACAGATTTTTGCTTGAGCACAGTATTTAGGATAGGAAAGTAATGTTCTTGTTGTTAGATAAAGATATGTAGATACATGTTTTACATGTAGAATATAGTTCCCTAGTTTGCATTATTTCACTATTTATTGAATTCCACAAGCTAGAATTCTGGACTAAACACCTTGTTTGGTCCTTTTCTCTTCTTATGACTCTCATATCTGGATCATGTGGGTTAATATGAAAAGGGGCTATTGCAGGAATCAACAACCTTTTCAGACGAGCAGGCACCTTTTGGGCACCAGTCACAAAATGGTCGCCATAAGAATGTGGCATAACACAACATGCCATGGCAGGGGACATGACATAACACAAAATAAGAGTACCATCACTGCAGCTGCTTCCTCCCCACCCCAGATGACCTCAGGCTTACCATGGGAAGTCAGCTATGTCCTGCTGGTCTTGGCTGTGAAGTCCACATAGTACTGCTTTCTCATACACAATATTGATTCCATAAACACTGTCTAACAACAGAGAGCAGCCCCCAGTACCAGAAAAACTACAAGCTAACACCCACATCCCACAAGTACATCTCTCCCACTTTTTTTCAGGGGGTGAGGGTGAGGAAGCAAAACACTGAAAAGGTGGAGCAGTCAAATTGCTAATAAAAATTGAGAAGAATAGTGTCTGAACATTGTGCCTCATATCTCAGATTCTAAAAATCCTAGAAACTTCCTCAAAAAATATTAAAAGCTGGGAATCTGGGGGTTGCTTGCCAAGCAGACAAACGTAATGATAAAATTGATGTGATTTTCCTGTTTATATTTTGATGGTGGCATTAATTATCTGGTTGCATAACACATTTTTAAACAAAACAAAACTGGCAGCAATCACTGATATAATGCTTGTTACAAGAGCAAGTCAAGTTATATGAGCCTTTGTTTAAAAATGCATTTTCTTCACTACTATAATTTTTCTAATTTTGCTTAATTTCTTTCATCTTACACAGAGTAAACCTATTGAAATAAGTAAAGAATTCTCACTATGAAAGCAAAAGGCAAAATGTTGACCACTAAATAACTTGTTATACTAGATTCTGAAAGGTAGTTCCAAGTTAATTCCAAAACCAAACAAGGAAATGCACTTATTGTTAGTGGCTGTCTTACCTGCGGCCGTGGAACGGGCTTAAGTGGTTTCTTGTTACCAAGTTTTTTTAATGCGTTATAATATTTCTTTTGTTCGTCTGACATAAAAATGAGTTCTCCCCCTAGGTATAAGGAAATAAATACAAAATGCATCTTTCTGCCTGAAGATATCAAGCTTTTATGCAAATCCAACTAAGTACTTTCTAGCACTACGGGAAATTTAACTGGTAAAGCTATTTACTACATTACCATCTGTAGTCACAGTTATGGAGACTCATGGTGAAGACTATGCCTGGATATCCTTCAAAATCAGTGGTGGTTCATGGTGCTTCCACCACCACCACCAACCATGAGCACCACTGTCTAAAATATAAGGTCCAGATGAAATGAAAACAGCTCCACAAGTTTTCCATGCCATGAACTGTAGGGCATCACAATTGTGGCAAAACAATGAGAGAACCAGAAGTTTCAATGTTCTAGATGGATACCCCTTACCCTCTTTTTCAGGATCTATGAATACTCCTTCCTAAAGCTATTTTTCTTGCGTTCTGCTAATCAGTCACAAGGAAGTCCATTTTTAAGTGTCACTCCTTACTTGGTCATGAAGCTCACTGGGTGACCTTGAGATATCCACCATCTTTCAGACTCACCTACCGCACAGGATAAAATAGGGAGGGGCAGAACCGTGTACACAATCTTGAGCACCTTGGAGGAAAGACCCAGCCAGGCAGGCTACTGTGGGGTAGCTCAGTCAGCAAAGCATGAGACTCTTAATCACTTAATCTTGGAGTCATGGGTTTGAGCCCCACGTTGGGCAAAAGATTCCTGCATTGCAGGGGGTTGGACTATACGACCCTCATGATCCCTTCCAACTCTACAATTCTATGATTCTGTTCTGGTTCCCATGTAATGTAGTCTGATATCTCCTGAACAGGACAAGTGGTACTGAGGATTACTTTCTTTCTGATTTTGGTCTTGGACTGACAATGCCTTGGACATGATCAGCTGCAGTCTATTACAACACTGTACTGAACACCATTTCTATCCAACTATTATACAATCTTTATGGGAGTGAAATATTTTGTAACTCATGTGAGTACTTATCTTTTTCCTTTGTTGGTTGAAATTGTCAATAACAACTCCAATGAAGAGGTTTAGCATGAAGAACGATCCAAATATGATAAAAGCCACAAAATAGAGATATGCCCACACATTATTTTCAAAACTTGGCTGTTCATTTTCCTGAAATAAAGTAGAAAGACAAGAAACGCCTTGTTTGTGACTTAATTGTGTCAATTCTTAATTTATCATGAATATTTCATTGCCCTGTTTGATTTGTTTAAAAGCATAAATGGATGCTATGTAATTAGATACACCTTGTGAGACACAGTAGGCAATGTATAAAAGGACACATGCTGAACCCGTCACGGTTCTACACCTGAACTAGTGTCCTGGTACTCTGGTTACTGAAATAAGTTAATCATGACTAGACATACAGCTAGCTATATCCAAAATGGTGGAGGACCAATTAGAACAGGTCACCTCCAGAGATTTACAGAGCCTGCTGGGTTCCCAGGTGCTCTGGGGATTCAGGAAGTAATGTGAGAGATGTTTCTGTGTTTCTTAAATTAGTTTTTATTGAAGATTTTTTTGTGATAGAAAACAAATAAGCAAGGAAATGTACATAAAGCATCTTCACTTTCTTCTTTTTCACAGTTCATTTACATTCAGTATGAGACACTATTGTACTAGGCATTGTGGGGACGGAAGATAGGAGGGAGAGGGTTGGGGAGATCATGATCTTTTCATTCTGCTGTATAGTGTTTGTGTGTGGTTTTTGTGTCAGCGTCTCATGGGTAGGTCCTTTATTTATATAGTTATTTGTTTTTGTTGGCATCCAGAGGCCAGAGCTTGGTTGGTTGCATTCAGCTGATTGCAGTGGGGCATGTTTGTATGTATGTGTGTGAGGGTAGGTTGTTGGGTCAGGTTAACCATACTGATTCATATGCTGTTGGGGGGGCATAGGTCATTGCCTTGTTGTGCTGTGTATGTGATAAAGGGGTACCACAGTGGAGTGAACGCGTCCTCCTTTGCTTGCCCCTATGCTGGTTTAAGTTTGTTGGTTAACTTTTCTAATAGGGCGGTTTCCCATACATTTTGGTACTAATGGTCTATGTTCACTCCTGATAGGTATTTCCTAGGTATTTGATATGGGGCTGTCATTTTTGTAGAAGTCTTTTAAGCAACATAGGTCTTTAGCTTGACAGGTATTTATTTGGATGTTTTGGGGTGCATGGTGGAATAGTGGGTGATGAGCCTGGGGAATTAGAGAGCCAGGGGAATTGAGGGGGCTGCTGCCCCAGTTGATGGACACTGCCATTCAAGTGGTGTCCATGTACCGCATCATGTGATTGATTATGCAGGGCAGGGCTTACTTTGCACCCCCCAATATTTTATTCAAGTTGGCACCCCTGATTTCTGCAATGGGTGACTGAATATGGCTATTGGCAGTTGCTCCCCAGTGTCCTCTCCCATAGGCATGTAGAACTTCGTTTACCAAGAAACTTGAGGAACTGAGACAGCTTGAAATAAAATAAAAAAGTAATAGAGAATTTGATTAATTATACCACCGAACCCATTTGCAGGCATAGGAATTGATGGTGACAGCAGCAAACTAATACTGTATTTCCTTTCTGCTGCAAGGGTATTGGCAAAATTTCAGATAAACTGTTCTAGATAGTACAAGACTATAATCATCATAGGATGAAGCACTTCCAGTTCATAGTTGTGATTTTGCAATTACTCACTATCAGAGAAAGCTGTCTACAACATCTCTCCAGGAGTTACTGTTCTGATTCCTTCTACTCAGGTAGCTTGTTGAGAGATATGCAGGGAGATGTTTCTTTCAGGGCTCAATAATTTTAATTTCACAAACTAAAAGTAAACATTTTTGAGTGTAAAAATGAGGTGTTTTAATTCAGGCTGGAATAACACCCACTGGGAGAAAAACAGTTTAAAATGTGCTCTGCAAGGAGAAATGTCCTCCATCCCATCCCTATCTTGCAGCTGTAAGTAACCTCACCAAACTCCAGTTCCCAAGATTCTTTGGGGTGAAAGCTTTAACAATTCTAAAAGTACATAGAATGATACAACTCAGTAGTGTAACCGGTCAATAAAAATGAAGCAAAGCATCTAAAAAGGACAAATGCTGTAACTTTTCATGGCTTACTTTTGAAGGTGCATCTACTGCAGCATACATAATCTCCATCCAGCCCTTAAAGGTTGCCTGGCAAAATATATATATAAACAAACCAAGTTACGGAAGTATTCTGTAAATCGTTTTTCCTAGTCTGTCTGACAGTCTAACACCCATTTGGCTTGCCACCCTCCTGAGGAGTATGCTAAGGGATGCACTAGACTTGACAGGTGCAGCCATATTTGTCTATCCACATGCCTGCCTCATGCATGGATAAAGACACTGTACAAACACCAATAGACCACTGTGAGAGATGTACTCTTAATTGCCTGCACAGGCAATTCCTGGAGGAATAAAAGGTTTTCAGCAAGCATTTAAAAGTTGGCATAGAAGGTGCCTGCCTATATAAAAAAAGTTATTTTTATTTTGTTATCTTACGCTGTTCAGGGGCACAGAAACAGACTTTCCATTGCCAATATAATAATTGTCCCTAAAAAACCAGACCAGAGGAAACATCCCCTTCAAAATGCACATTTTGGAACATTGAAAAATGAGGGTTCCAAAATACATCGAGAGCCTCCAGATACAGGAGCCTTCCCTCTTTGCACAGTCACCTTTCACAAATCAAGGAACAACACTGCAGTAGTGGTGGAGCTAGCATGCTCACATTACCATCCCTCCCCTTGAGCGTTCTCTACACTTCATGTTTGTACAGGTCTTCTATTAGAGAGAGATATACTTCAGAAATATAATAGTACATCCTCTGTAGCATTTTAGAACGCAGGCATTGTGAAGCCCTGGATCATGGAGCTAGTTTCAGCTTCAGATCATGGATTAGCTTCAAACTGGAAATCTCAATGTGCAGTTTAACAGCAATCAGCAATATTTCTTAATATTTAAGGTTGCTCTCCTGTGTATTTTTTCTTTTTTAAAAAAATCCTTCAAAACTGAATTTCAAAAGCAAATTCTGAATTCTTTAGTAATTTTCTATCACCTCTAATTTCAATAATCTGTTATTCTTTGGCTACACATATGTGGCTTGCAGTGGCGTAGCGTGGGTTGTCAGCACCCGGGGCAAGGCAAGTAATTTGTGCCCCCTAACCCGTGGATTTGCGCCCCCAACCCGTGGATTTGCGCACCCTAACCCTAACCCCCAGATGTTGCGCCCGGTGCGGCCGGGCCCCCTGCACCCCCCACGCTACGCCACTGGTGGCTTGCCAAGGTTGTTCTCTTGCCAAAGAAACTATGTGTGATTGAACATACCACCTGGAGGAGAGCCAGATACCCCATCCCAACATGATCAAAGTTGACATTCGTATTAGTCCATTCGGAATTCTGACTTTCACAGACACTTTTATTTTTTAAAGATGCATCACTGCATTTCGAAAATTTTCCTCCAAACAGTTGTACTCCTAGGATGTTAAATGGGAGCCAGAGAACAACACAGACAAGCAGCACATTCCCGATCGAAGGGACAGCTCCTGCGAGTGCATTCACTACAACCTTAAATGAGAAAATGAAACACACAATCTGTTATTCAATGAATAGAATCAGTCTACCAATGGTAATGATAGCACGTAACCGAGCAATCTGATAATCATGTGGCAATTACACGATTAAGTATGGATCTTTCTCCTGATTTACAAATGAGCACCACCAATTGAGTGAATATGGTGCTAGAATTTGCTATGAGGAAGTGGGTCCAAATGCCAGGTCAAAAGGCAGTCTTGAGCAAGTCACTAACTCAGTTTTCCATTCATAAAATCAAAATTAAAAGACCACCTTTAAAGTAGGGGTACCAGGCAAGATGCCTGTCAATTGTTTTAGCAATTGTGTGTGCTTGGAGAAGCTTCAAAACACTTTTTGAAATGATGCAGGAAATGACTTCATGTCCAAGCAGCTTTATAGTGTTAAAACAGGAAAAATAGAGTCCTAAATACTACTTGTTTGTTTTGTTATGTGTGCATTTTGTGACTCTTTTTATGTTTGGATTGTTTAGGATTTCCCTGGAATTATCTAAAAATTATCTAAATTTCCTTTTTAAAAATCAACATAGGAGCAGGGTATAACGTAGTTCAAGATACCCACATATTGACTGGGATTGGATGGATTAGAATGGAACAGAATGGGATAGATTTTGCCATCCCTACTACCAGCTCAACACAACCTTAGCTTTGTGGGACATGTAACAGAAAAACTGTATTTAGTACCTTTATCCCTTTAAATCTGGACAATGCACGAAGAGGTCTCAGGGCTCTTAAAGTTCTGAGAGATTTTGTGGAGACATGGCTATCACACAGATCTCTTCCCTTTGTTCCAACTGTTTTTGCAGGAAAGGAAACCTGTGATAAAAAAAGGAAAAGAAAGGAAAAACACGGGCTGTTTACTTGTAAAACATATCTTTGGAGTTATGGTTTTCTTATGCCAATTATTTTTATTGATTTTCCAAATGTTAACTCATTTATACAAATTATTTCCAAATTAATACAATTTTGTTTAAGTGGTTTCCCACGCGCCATTCTTGATGTGGAGTTATGGTTTTCCAACATTGTGTCTTCAGGGAATTCTTTCCATGCTGACTTGTTTATCAAGCAACCCCCTGTATATATGCTGTGGAATCCAGAATGGATTAGATTCCCCTCCCTTTGACCCTTTGCCTTTCCTCCACCAATTGTCTTCCCTATGTCAAAGATCAGGGACACTGACACTGATCAATGATTTAATTCAGGGCTATCAAAAGACATTGCGTGGCGATACCCGCCCCCTCCCACAGATGGAATAAATAAAGACACGGACACCAGAATTTAGGTTGATGGGCGAAAAATGGCCACAACTTTATTGATTACAGGTAAGAGCGGTATTGGACTTAGGCATTGGCCCTAACAGATTATCCGGTCTAACCGGGGAGGGTTAAGCACCAACAGGGGGAGCCCCCGAGATGCACATCCCTAGGCGCTCCCCAAGGGGTTACCGCTCAGGAGCGCGCTTTAGGCCCTAGCCTCCGTAGGTTTCGGACGAGGCGACGCCCCCCAGAGTCCTTTAACAAACTACCCTCCAAGCATTGGGGGAGGCGATGGCGATCCTCCCCCCCCCAACCTCATTTGCATAACAATACCCCTGCTGCAGAGGAGGAAAAGGGGTGAGCCCGGGCTGCCCTGACCTTAAGTGCCCTCAGGTAGCCCTGCCCCCAGCGCCAGCTGGCTGGCGCTGCCGGATATGAATATTAATGGGGATCCCTGAGTTCCGCGGGGCTGGCGCCAGCCCCGCAACAATGTGGATAGGAGTGTGAGCCCACAACCCCCCCCCTCCGTAGTTCAGGAGTGGCTTTATGTTGCCTGAGGTGGGACAGCATACACACCCACCCAAAGCGAGTCAAAATACATAGTGTTCCTAGGGCTAACCACATTATTTTGCTACCTGGCACAAATTCCCAAAATCAGCTGCCCGGGGTGGCTTGCTCACTCTATCTAACTGTGAGGCTGGCCCATTTGCTACATGGATCTCTGAGGCGGTAGCTACTTCACATAATTGTACATTACAGCAACATGCAGGACAGTAAGATTAAATCTGATACTTACACATACAATAAAGAAATCAAGCCAACACCAAGCATTGGTGAAATATTTTCTGAAGCCATAAGCCACCCATTTCAGAAGCATCTCCAGGAAAAAGATGTAGAAGAAAAATATATCTGCATATTCCAGTATGATTTTTATGGTCTTTCTCTCAGCAAGGTAGATGTCTTCAAAGATCTAGTATTTCAGAAATCAGATGTGATTTTGAATTCACTAGTGGGATATTTAAAATTTGTGCAATGTGATGCAAAAGGGTGGAGCCCACTCACTTAGCATTCATTGGGAAGGGCTTCTTTCAGCTGATTAAAGTTTAAGAAGTACTACAACATAGATCTCTGAGGTTCACTGTGTGAACCCTGCTCCCATGTTCAAGATTCAACAACATTTTTTGCCAAGTATGTAGTAAAATTAAATGACAATGTAGAAATCGTAGGCCTAAATTATTTGTCAAAGTGTAGCAATTTGACATCAAAGATGGTTCCTAGGACCATAGCATTGGCCTAGGGGTCCTTAATAATTATGCCTATACTGGATGTAAGATTCTAGCTATAGCTCTCCATTGCTTTGAAGCCAACTGATTACACATAAAAGCCTGCAAAAGGAAAAACCCTAGTCATGAACTGGCAAGCCCCATAGCCCTAATAGGCAATATATAGAAGGCATGAGCATTGCATAATTGCTGGGATTATGTATCAAAGATTGAATAACTGGGGGAAATATAGGTTAAGGGGTTAGTATGCATTAGATTGTTATATAACAGGAACATTGTATCATGTGCCATGCACACAACTGAAGCATGCCACAATCTCTTATATGGCCATTTCAAGCTACAAAATTGAGCATACTATGATCCACAGATATGGGGTTGTTTACCAATAGGATGTTTATCTTGAAATAAAATAATTCCTTCCAGTAGCACCTTAGAAGAGTAGTATCTGAAGAAGTGTGCATGCACACGAAAGCTCATATCAATAACAAACTTAGGTGGTCTCTAAGGTGCTACTGGAAGGATTTTTTTTTATTTTTTTTCGACTACGACAGACCAACACGGCTACCTACCTGTATCTTGAAATAGCAGATTGTCCATATGGCCAACTGGACTTTGGCTAGTGGTTATATAAAATCCTGATTTGGAGGAAGAAACTAGACTGTACAAAGTTTGGGTGCGGCATACCACTCTTCAGTGACCACCAACTTCTAGCCTGTTCTCAGAGTTCTGGCCATCTCGGTAGCAACAGAAGCTAAGGACTGGGTGAGATCCATTTGAGTTTACATATATGGCCCATATAAATGAACTTTTTTTCATATGCCAAATCTCTTGTGGGGGCTTGGAATAAAATTGCTTTATTGCTTTATATCCAGCATGTCTGGGTTTCTATACCATTAATAAAGATTCCAGTTAGTTCATACCAGTGAAAGCTAGTGCAATATATCTGGAGAGTTCTGAAGGAAATCCCAGCAATCAGTTAACTGGGATCTTTTATAAAATACTCTTAAAAATATAAACATATACTTTTAAAAATACTTTAAAAAACAAGCAAGCCTCACTTTTATCAGTTGGAATCTAAAGAGCTGCTTTAAGTGCCCAGCATTATTTTGTCTGATAGAACCTCCAATCCACTTTAAAAAATGGATTGTCATGTAAAATGAAGGGCTACTGTTCAAGAAGAACAAGTCAAAAGTTCCCTTGGATCTAGCTGCATGGTTCTTTGGATTTTGGCCATTGTTTATCTAAGAAAGTTTTCACTATTACTCATGCACCAATAAAATGGAATACACTAGGTATGATTATATAATATCAAGGAATATTTTTTTTTTTAAATCACCTATCATCCTATTAAACAGATTTCAGCAGCTATAGGAAAAAAGAAAATTCAGAGCTGAACACAAGGCCAAAAAATTAATAATACTCTTATTTTGAGGATATCATAGTAAGCTTACCAGAACACCACTGCTCAGTAATATCATAAATATGATAAAAGATTCAAACCAACTATGTTTTACAATTCTGTAGCAGGTTTTTCTAAACCTCCACCAAGTGTTGCCTGGAAATTTATCAGTATTCACCGTGCAACATGGGAAGAACTTGACCAACACTGAAATAAAGAGAAATCAGATACAGAAATTATCAGTGTTCTGAGAATCAGTAGGAAACCAGTCTTTTTAACATTTAGCATCTTTGCAGGAGAAAATAGCAAATTATTTCCTCTTTTCTTCCTATCCCTGGAACATTCTGCTGGTGGCCTTCTATGTAACTAGTACAAGCAGCACATCCACAGAGTGCAGAGGAAGAGTTTCTTGTGTGAACTAACACACTGGAATATTTGCTCATGAGAAGATAAAGTTGCAAAAAACTACCAGCTTCCCAGTTGCCAATAGCTGGTCGCCATATAAAGGCCAGAATAATTAGATTGAGAGTAGATCAGAAATGAATTTCCTTAGATCCACCCCAATAAATGTCATCCTCATTTTGGTAACTTTGTGCCCCCAATCCCTGGGTGACTCCTCCCAGTGGCTTGAGAGTGATGTTAAGCACACAGAGGACAAGATAGAACCTAGTGGTTCTCCATAATAGAGATATCATGGGGCCAGACAAAAGTCCCTGAATTGTATTCTCTGGTAGCACCCCTGTAGGTACGAGAAGAACCACTATAATACCCCCCAGAGCTGTGTCAGGATACCTTGGTCAATGGTCAACGTGGCCAAGAGATGAATAGCACTCCTGGTCTTCCCTCATCAATCAGAGTAACCAAGACTGTTTCAGTACTGTGCCCAGGAGTGAAGCCACAATGAAATGGGTCTAGATAATCTGCTTCATCTAGGTTCATCTGTAACTGGGCAGCTACTGCTCTGTTGATCACCTTACCCAAAAAAGAACTGACTATCTCAAATAAATTATAAATTTAAAAATCATATTAAATGCCAATAAAGCTAGTCTGTCACCTTGTGGAAAACAGGCCACAGGCTCCTTCTTGACTACAGGGAAAATGCAGATGGGAGACCTCTCATCTACTGTGCTGGCCTCAGAACAGCTGCTTTCAAGATCCACGCTCTGAACATAAAAACAAAACAAGAAAAAACAGTATCCTCTTAATATAACTGGCCAATGATGGGGAAGGGTGGTGGCTCAATGGAAAAGCACATGCTTTGCATGCAGAAGGGACCGCTGGTCTCATCTGAAGGCGTTTCTCTAGCATTATAGTCCATCAAGTGGGCAATCATCAACACTTAGCATCTGAAGGGAAATGAATGTAAAATATGAGGAAGTAGGACTGCCCAGCTCTATATCTTCCCAGTACATTTCATGACAAGACCAGAAGGATGTATTATACTCAAAAAGAAGACAGAAAAATAAAGAGAAAACACAAGCACAACACAAAAGGCACAGAAAATTAATCCTGAATATAGAAAATACATTAGAATAACACATGCTGATTATAGAGTATAAAAAATGCATTAAGCAAACAACTTCAACCAGTTTAATAATAAATTAAAAGCAATGCAGAAATAAATTGCAGAATGGCAGCTGCCCTTTTGCACATGTTGGACGAGGCCTTGATGGACTACTATCCGGGAGAAACACCTTTCAGGTGAGATCAACAGTTCCTTTCTCTCTGGATCAGGGGTCAGCAACCTAAGGCCCATGGGCCGGAAGTGGCCCATGGAGATCATTTGACCGGCCCCCGAGCCGCCCCTGAAATGAGATGCCCGCTCGTGCGCTGCGCTAAATCGGCGCAGCACGGGGACTCGCTTCCTTGGTGCTGGAAATCGTGTCTGCGCAGACGCAGATGCCGAAAATCATGCGCCCATGAGCGATCCGGTCCACAGAGGGATCTTTTTATTGAGTTTACATTAAATACTGTTTATTGAGTTTACAGTATATACTGCCCTATACCCGGAGGTCTCAGGGCAGTTCACAGAAAAGATCACAACATAGTGTATATAATCAGAATAAAAACAACAACCCACTAACACCTCCCATAAAAGAGCCACATTTTAAAAGGGTACAAGTAATGCTTGGTAAAAGAATTAGGTGTGGACAAAGCAGACACTTAGCATTTCTCAGTGATACCCCATTTGCCAACAGAGCTGCTATAGTTGCTGCTGACTGAAAGATGGTCGGTAAGGCAAGATGCTGAGAGGTGGGGGACTGAAACCTGATCTGATAGGGGGAAAATACCGGTACCTGAAATTACACACAATGAACAATAATGTGGGAGAAACTCAGAAAATGATTACTAGTTTGACAGAAACATACAACAGTAGCTAAAGGACTGAAGGGAGAGCAGAGACTGGGAAAGAAAATCAGATGGATGAAAGGCAGGAAATGGACTGGGGAAATATAAAGCAGGACAGTCCTATTTCTTTGAGTTTGCATGCATTTCCTGCCTTTGGATGCCATGTGGTAATGATAACCCACTTAATGGACTGTCATCCAGTGAGAAGGTCCTGTGCCTGATCTCCAGTATCGCCAAACTGAGCTGGGAAATACTCTTTTGTAAAACTCTGAAGAGCTGCTGCCAATCTGTATTAACCAGAATACTTCCTTAACATGCCATTAAGAAAAGAAAGGAAGTGGCTCTGCACCAGTGGCCTAATGGGTGGTGCCCCCTCCTTTAACTGGCTGGTTCTTAGGAAGACAAAGGCGAGAGTTGAGAGTTGAGTTATGTGAGCTAGAAGCTAGGGTCTGGAAGCAGCAGGCTAGGAAACCAGAGAGAGAGTCATGCCTGATTTCTGCTTGAATCCATGAATATGGCTAAGGGAGAAGCAAGACTTTTTTGGCGTGTTGCTGCTATGAACATTGTAGGCTGAGGTAGTATATATGTGTAATTAAGCCATATATCGTAAAGACACCACAGTCTCCACTGTCCCTCATCTGAAGGAAATATGAACCCTGCTATGCGCCTGAAACTCCTGGAATCTCACACTGCTCGAAGATTGGGATGGCTTGCAACAGTATTACTATTTATTCTTCTTTTGTTGAAATGTAGCCTCGGGGGACACAAATTTGATTGCACCAGCAGCATTGAGGAAAGGGAAGCTTAACCTTCTCCTGCAAGCTTTTTGTGATCCAAACACTTTTTGCAATCAACTTATTTATTAAGAATTATTCTAGACCAGGCTTCATCTACAAAAGATACCAGGATGAAGTATATAAATATAAAACATGTCCAATATAAAAGAATTAAAGATAACCTAATAACAAATAAAAGCACTAGAGGCAGTTTAAAAAACAAGTGGAACAGACAAACTTTAAAATGCCAGGGCCATTAAGTGAGTTTTGAACTTAAGCCAAAATGTTTGTAATAGTTGTGCCAGTTATACTTCAGTAGGGAGAGCAATCCACTGACTGGCACCACCACAGATGTGGGAGAGAAATTTGTTTGGATTCACATTGAAATATGATTTTTACTTCCTGAAACAATACGTGCACCAAAACACAGCTATCCTTTGAAATTCACATTTCTCCAAATTTTGGAAGGCGGTTCTCCAACCAAAAAGAAGTGTACTAAATTGTATATACAGTATAGGGGTGGACAAAGGAGGTGTGGTGGGTGTGATCCGCCCCAGGTGCCACCACTGAGGGGGGTGACAAAATGCCAGGCAGCACTCACTGCGGGGCCTGCAGTGCGCTCCTGGAAGAGAAGCAGTGGCTTGGGCGTGCGCAGGCTCTGTGCTGCCCAAATGGTCCGCCACCCTGCCTCTCCCCCCCCCCAGCTGTAGGGTGGCTGAGTGGGAGGAGGCAGGCACACTCCGGAGGCCCCACAGTGCACCCCGCCCCTATGTGCAGCTCGTGCTGCCCCTGGGCGCACCGCCCCAGAAGCCCGAGTGGCTTCCTCCACAGTGGTACAGTGGAGGTACAGTGGTACCTTGGTTGTTGAACTTAATCCAGTCCGGGAGTCCATTCAACTCCTGGAATGGTTCGAAAACCAAGGCACAGCTTCCGATTGGCTGCAGGAGCTTCCTGCACTCAATCGAAAGCCATGTTGGACATTTGGCTTCCAAAAAATGTTCACAAACCAGAACACGCACTTCCGTGTTTACAGCGTTCAGGAGCCAAAACGTCCGAGTACCAAGGCGTTCGACAACCAAGGTACGACTGTATTTGTGAAAATAGCATATAAAAATGCATTATATATGATGAAGTTGCTTACAAAAATGTTCCTTTTTTGCCAAGAGCTTATAAAATATGGTGAGCTCACCAACCCAAATACAGGATGATTAAGCAGTGAGTGCCCTTCTCCAGACATAAAAATGAAGACTGCTTTCCCAGCTTCAGAGAAAGGACCTACCCCCAAACTAGGTGTCCTTTGTTTTTCAGGGGGAGAAGCAAAAATACTTCCGCAATATAAAAGTGGAATATACTAAAAAAAAGTAGTAGAATATACCACTTTCCTGGAAATGCAGAATGCCACTCTCAGCAAGCAATAGAGCTATAATGATCATTTTCCTTTGCTTTACCTTAGGAACATTCAAAGACCAAACATTGCTACTTTCGGAAATATCAGAAGACAGAATTTGTCTTGACCTTTTGAATTTCTCTCTTCTCTTTTGCAAGTTGTTCTCCTAGGGAAAAGTATGAAAGTAAAGATATTTTGTTCCTAACACTGCACACAAGAAGCTAGAAAACTACTAGTTTTCAAAGCCTTCGTATACAAACAGAAATGGAATCCGTTTCATCAGTTAACAAATACATTTACAAACTTAATAATGCATAATATTCCAATACAGTGGCACCTCAGGTTACATACGCTTCAGGTTACATACGCTTCAGGTTATAGACTCCGCTAGCCCAGAAATAGTACCTCGGGTTAAGAACTTTGCTTCAGGATGAGAACAGAAATCGTGCAGTGGCGGCGCGGCAGCAGCAAGAGGCCCCATTAGCTAAAGTGGTGCTTCAGGTTAAGAACAGTTTCAGGTGAAGAACAGACCTCTGGAACGAATTAAGTAGTAAACCTGAGGTACCACTGTACAGTGGTGCCCCGCAAGACGAATGCCTCGCAAGACGAAAAACTCGCTGGACGAAAGGGTTTTCTGTTTTTTGAGTCGTTCCGCAAGACGAATTTCCCTATGGTCTTGCTTTGCAAGACGAAACGTCTTGCGAGTTCTTGCGAGTTTGTTTCCTTTTTCTTAAAGCCGCTAAGCCGCTAATAGCCGCTAAGCCGTTAATACCCGCTAAGCCGCTAATAGCCGCTAATAGCCGTGCTTCGCAAGACGAAAAAACCTCAAGATGAAGAGACTCGCGGAACGGATTAATTTCGTCTTGCGAGGCACCACTGTGTATGGATCAGCCACAATGGAGGCATATAGGAATGGTGTATACTTGGCATGATTTATTCACCATAGCCTCTTGGCTAGGATTATCTATGCCAGCAGTCTACCAGAAATGTCCATTTATGGGGCCTGTTTCTTACCTCTTTGCTGCAATCCATTTCTTCCTCACCAAAAGTCTCCATTTCAGCAAGGGGAGCACAGACAAATGTATTAAAGTCTGTCATAAAATGATCCACCGGCAGCTTCTCCAAATGTTTACCACTAGCATAGTTTTCCGGGACCCCTTTCCTTGGCTCAGTGGCCCCGTCCTTTGGGATGGTCACCTCCTTGGTCTTCGTTCTTGCCTTCTTCAGCTTTTGCACAAGGGCATTGCAACAGCGGTTCCACAGCAGATGTTTGACAAATTGCAACCCCCTGTGAGCAAGGACCACGTGAGGCTTAGCTTGCTCTTCATCTAACTCAGTTTCTGAATCACTGCTACTAAAGGAACTCAGGAGCAAAGCGATAAAGAGGTTGAGGACCTGAATGAAAAGTAACCAGATGAAGCAGACAATGAGAGTGGAAAAGGGTATTTTGGAAAGTAACACATTTCGACTGCTTCCTGTTTTTCCCAGAGAAAAAGGACTTCCCATTCGTTCAGTATTGTACAGGACACTCCAATCTCTGCTGAGTGGTAGGAGGATTCCACGGGTCTTGGCACTTAACCAGGGTTTGTGTTCCTTGGGAATGAGGCACAGGGGAGATTGACATGTCTTTATGAAATATGGTTTATTTCACACACATTTGCAACCTGAGTTTGGGTGGAGGGTGTTGGATCAGTCCATCAAATAGTGAATATCCAACAGAGGGAGTACCTCTCGTTGCTTCTCCCATAGCTTCAGCAAGCTTGGGTTCAAAGCAACAGCCAATCATGCTCCCAGGTCTCTGCATGGAGTTCTGACCCCTCCCTTCTCCTTCCCAAAATCTCTGCTCCCAAACCTCTATTTTAAAATGACGTATTTTTTCCTGTGGTGACATCACGTCCCCTGTTACCCATGCCATCCTCCCCCTCTCAAGTCTTCTGTTTCTGTCCACTTCTCAGCTGGGGGAAAGACCGACAACATCTGTATGGTGAATTGTTTTTCATGGCCCAGTACTTGACTCTCTTTGTGTTTTTAATGGCATTCCTATCAGCTGATCTCCTGAATGGGAAAATGGGTGTATAGGGAGCCACCCTCTAACAGTGCCTCAGTCTCATCTGCATTGAGCTTCAGTTTGTTGGCTCTCATCTAATCCATTGCTGAGACAGGACGACGGCCCAGCACATCCACTGCCCATAGCTGTCAAGTGTCCCTTATTTGGCGGGAAAGTCCCTTATCCCAGCGCTGTGTCCCCCTGCTGTCCCTTATTGATGGATGTCCCTTAAATGTCCCTTAAATTTCAAAGGAAGCAGCTCCTCTCCCTCCCACCCTGCCGGCCAGGGAGGAGGGAGGCTCCAACTGTGTTGCTTGGCTGCGTTGCTCACCCAATAAGAAGTCTAAGAACGACTGGGGGGGTGGAGCTTGCATGCCTTGTGTGTGGCTAGTTAATGCAAGCTGAGGGGGGTTTTGAATGCTGGACGCCATTTTGTTGCACGTGCTGCTGCAAACTTTGCAGTGCAAAGCCAGGCCGGGGAGCCATCTTAAGTTGAGGCTGCATAGGCCTTGTGGTGCATGTGATTCAGATTCTATTCAGTTGAACCTCTGGTTACAAAGTTGGTTGGACAGTGTTCTCGAAGCTACCAGCATGAGTTTGACCAGACTGCAGGAGGACAGGAAGACTGGAGTGCCTGGAACAGGTGAGGCCGCAGGTCCCTTATTTTGGCTGCTGGTCCCTTATTTTCAAGGCTGCTGGTCCCTTATTTTCAAATCTGTAAGTTGACAGCTATGCCAATGCCTTGTCTGCAGATGTAAAGGAAAAGTAGAGCTGTGTGTCATCAGCAGATTGCTGACAACATACTCCAAACCTCTGGATAACTCCACTCAGTGGTTTCATGTAGATACTAAATAGCATAGGGGCTAAAACTGAACATTGAAGAACCTCACAATGAAGGCTCCACAAGGCTGAAGAACACTCCCAAACAACACTATTTGGAAATGTCTACCCAAGTCGGACCGGAACTACTGCAAAGCGTGCCACCCACCGCTAGTTTGGACAGTTGCTACAGAAGGATATCATGGTCAATTGTATTGAAAGTCACTGAGAGGTCAAGAAGATTTAACAGGGACATGTATGCTTTGTCTCTCTTGTGACAGAGGTTATCATACAGGGCGACCAAAGCAGTTTCTGTGCCCAATCCAGGCCTAAACCCTGATTGAAATGGATCCAGAAAATTCGTTTCTTCCAAAAGCGTCAAGATCTGGTCTGCGACCACTCGCTCCAGAACCTTGTTCTGGAAAGGGAGATTAGCAACTGGCCAATAGTTACCGTATTTTTCGCTCTATAAGACGCACCAGACCACAAGACACACCTAGTTTTTGGAGGAGGAAAACGAGAAAAAAATATTCTGAATCTCAGAAGCCAGAACAGCAAGAGGGATTGCTGCGCAGTGAAAGCAGCAATCCCTCTTGCTGTTCTGGCTTCTGGGATAGCTGCGCAGCCTGCATTCGCTCCATAAGATGCACACACATTTCCCCTTACTTTTTAGGAGGGGAAAAGTGAGTCTTATAGAGCAAAAAATACGGTAGTTAGGTTGTCTGAATCAAGGGAAGGTTTCTTAAGGTGTGGTTTTACCACTGCCTGACGTAGCTAAATTGTGTAGAACGTTCTTGAAAACAATCCTACTGAAGAAATAATTTTAAATATGTCCCATAGAAGAAGGAAATCCTTTGAAAACTTACCACTAGGTTTCCTAAAAGCAGGACCAGCATGAACAGGAAAATGCACCATCCTTCCCCAGCAGCTTTCATACAGCCCCACATCGTTTCGATCCATTCTCCACAGAGAATTCGGAATATAACAAGGAATGAATGTAAGAAGTCTTCCATATGCCATCGTAATTTACATTTATGGGTGGCATTGGTACTGTCACTGTTGCAGATCTGCGTTTTGTTCTCACATGTTTCTCGAAATGTTTTGTAACTTTGGCTAAAGCCCTGCTTGCCAACCACAGCAAAAATGAATACGGTAAAAATCAGAACAAGTGTGAGGTTGCTTAGTGGGCCCACTGATTTCCACATTATTTTCATGAGCTTATTTAATGCTGGCCAAAACTTGGACAATTTGAAAATTCTCAGCTGCAGGGTGGGGGCAGGGGATAGGGAGAGAATAGCAGCAAAAAAAGGAGAAAGTTAAGTCTTGATTTTCCAGTATTATTAAAAATAGATAAATTGTTCTACCAGCATGATTTGTATGTAATTAAGCATATTTGCATCAAAAGGAAGCTATAAATACACTTTGTGATGTGCAACCATTCAAAAATAATGTAGTGCAGATAGATGAAACCTGAATTTGAATATGCATCTAATATGCATTGAATTTGCAGTTCCTGGTCCAGAGAAGGAGGATGGAAGTTTGCTTCAACATGCAAATTTCTTCCTCTAAAGTAAGATGCATTCAAGCATGCACTCTGTTTCACAGAACACATCTCTAATGAAACAGACTTATTTCATGACAATCCTGTATTCAAAAGAAAACCCTTGAAAGGGTGTGTCTGTGATTGTGCTCCCTTTCTATTCTTATTTCATTAAGATAAAATGCTGTCTTGAGATTCATTGTCACACAGTATCATAAGCCAAGCAGAAAATGCAATTTAAATTCCAATGGTCATATCTATACAAGGCATTTAAAGCATATGATTTCTCCCAAAGTATCATGGGAACTGTAGTTTGGTAAAGTGCTGGGAATTATAAACTACAATTCCCATGATTCTTTGGGAGAAATCATGTGATGTAAATGTCTAGTGTAGGTGTGACCAATATAATTTACTATTTTATTTTCTCTTGAACAGGTAAAAATGCATTTTAAAGCATCTCAGAGATTTCATGACAACCCTATATTCTAAGTGTTTCCTCAGTTTGATTGTCATCTGCTCATAATTTATTGAAATTACTGATTTTGCCACATATACTCACTATTAAATAAATAAATAAATAAATAAATAAATGTGTCAAGGAAAGTAAGCCCTAGATTCCATAGATTTAATGTGGAAAGTGACTATAACAGGAGATTCATCATTACCATTCTGAAAATTGATAGGGGACGCCTCGTGACCAAGCTTATTATACCTAAAACAGCCAAAAGGCAGTCAAAAATATTCCAAGCCTCTTGAAAATAGTAGTAGGGATCAAGAGCAATTATTTTGAGGATCATTTCAGCTGTAAAAATGGCAGTGAAAACCTGCAAGAGAAATTATGTCAGAACACAATCAACGTGCCATATGTTAAATTCAAGCTATGCCTTTAGGGAAGGGGTGGCTAATCTGTGGCCCTCCAGATGATACTGGACTCCAACTTCCATTAGCCCCAACCAGCACCAGAAAACCATTAACGTGGGAAAGAGTGTCTGATCACAAACGTAATTAATTAAGGGTGAAAAGGTATGAAGGGAAAAGGACACACACATCAGGGTACATGATGGCCTGCGGGGCGGGGGCACAATTTAACTCTCTCAATCTTACTATAAGATTCACACAGAAACTCTAACCTACAAGCACAGACAGAGCTGACAGATTATAATAACAACAGCAATGAGTGAAATAACAGGCCAGAAAAGAGCACAAGGGAAATATAAAACTGCTTCAAGTGAGGCAGGAAAATGAACTGATATTTCAGCTGACAATCCAAGGAAGAGGGTAAGAGAGAGCTTCCTGTGGGCTGATAATTGCTTTTCTTGCCTCAAGCAACAGGTGAAACGCAATCCCACTTGATGGTGTCCTAGTACCCACTAGAGAAGAAAAGGTTTGTATGAGCACACTTTTTTAGGTACGCACTAAACGTAATTTCTAGGCACAAATTTCAGTTCAAAGGCACTCCAAAATTCTCCAACAGTAAAACAATAAAAAGGTGATTCTTGCCGTGTAGCTTAATAAGGATTTGGCTTCACTTACTTTGTTTCCTGTGGAAACCATGTTCTTTGTTTCTGGAACTCTTTCGAATGTCATTAAAACAGTATTCACTATAATACACAGAGTAATAAATAGTTCAGCAAAAGGGTTTATCATGACTTTCTTCACCATTTTCTTTATTTGCAACCAGAGTGGGCAACATTGCCAGATGAGATACTTATGGGCAGCAGTTTTCAAGCATGGAGGGAATTCCATTTTTGATTCTTCCCATTCTAAACAACAAAAGGAACATAATTACAGGCACAGTGAGTTATGAAATGAGAACAATTTCAGGTAAAACATAGGTAATTCTTTACACCCACCCACCCACACCCTTTGACTTAAAAAAAAATAATATTAAGAAATTGTCAGTTGTAGAAAACAGAGAAAAGAGAAAAAGTGCAAATGAAAAATAAATAAAAAGTGCAATAAGAAAAAAGATATAGCACACTAAATGTACACTTCCACACATTATTATACAGATATGTAATATTATTGTCCTACTGCATATAGGAGTATACATATTTATCCAAACAAAGTCTGCGTCTATAAGCAATCCATTCAAGTGCTGTCAATCCATTGATTAAAGCGGGGGATCACATCTTCTTGGCTTGACTTGAAAAGGATCTGCACAGGTTCCCTCAAATCCCTTGTCCTACACAAGCCACTCTTTCAATCTTTTTCTCCTCTCTTCTTTCTTTTTACTCTGCAACAGTCCAAACCCTGCATACCTAAGACAGTCACTGAATTCAATAGAACTTGTGACTGAGTTGACATAGTGCTGTTCTGTTGGACTTCTAATACCAGTTTGGGACACACTACATCATCTCACAAATCCTAACATGCAGCAGCAGACTGTATGAACACACAATTATGTGCAAGGAACTTTGCACACTGTAGAAGAGGGACCCTGAACAGAGGAACCACAGAAAGCATTGGAAAAACTCCAGACTACACTGCACAATAAATCTGGGCAAAAGTCATGCCTCTAACATAAAGGTGGTTACCTCATTCAATCCACATTTTATCAGCTTCCTTTCAAGAATGTCATGGGGAACTTTGTCAAGAGACTTACTGAAACCAATATATACATGTCCACAGCATTCCCCTGATCCACCAAGCTTGTAACTCCATCAAATAAAGAAAAGAGATTCATCTAGCATACTTTATTTTTGAGAAACCCATGTTGGGTCTTAGTAATCACAGCATCCTTTTCTAAGTGCTCACAGACCAACTGTTGAATTATCTGTTCTAGGACCTTTCCTGGTATCAATGTCAAGCTCACTGATCAATAGTTACCTGGGTCTTATCCCCCCCCCCTTTTGAAGATGGGGACTACATTTGCCCACCTCCAGTCTGCAGGGACCTCACCTGTTCACCAAGAATTCTCAAAGGTCTGAGATTACAAAGGCTCTGAGATTACATCCGCAAGCTCCTTTAGTGCCCTTGGATGCAGCTCATCCAGCCTTGGAGATCTGAATTCATTTAAAGTAGCTAGGTGTTTCCTTACTACCTCTTTTCCTATCTTAGGCTGCAGTTCCCTCCTTACATAATTTACTCCGTTACGCATATAATTTGAATTTGCAGGCCAGTTTTTCAGATGGAATAGTAAAGATCAACATCAGAACCAAGCTCACTGTTGACATTCCAGGCTGCAAAACATACCCATACTGGAGTTACAATCTTAGTGTCATCATAAACCAAGTAAACAACAAAAACCATGAACACAAACTGAGGTAAGGAAAGCAATGAGTCCTATATTTGGTCCAAATTATGAGTGAAGTGCTAATATGTATTCTTCTGACTGTTGAAATGAATATGGAAACATGACGACAATAAATGCTAAAGGCTCAGCAAAACAAAAACAAACCCCAATTGGTAAACAATTTTTTATGATTTATTTAAATGTGAAGATTTTGAGAGGCAGTGTGAGCCAGGGCTTTCCAGTGAGTGGCCCTCACTCCTGAGACAATTACGGTACTCTCCTAGTTTTTCAGCATAATTTTCAATATATACTGTTTTCAGGTTTTAAGGAATACTGATTTGATTATCTTTTACAAAATACTTAAAAACACTGTAGAAGTTACCCCCAACCTCTTTAAAACTTTGTTTTATTTATTTTTAACTCACCCATGGTTTTGCTGATGACATTAGCAGCACTTGTTAACCGTTGTCTTTGAAATGGATCATCAGGAGTGTCAACGGGTAGGTGATAGGACATTAACAGCTCCTTCTTTGGGTGCAGAAAACAAATCCAAAGTGAATATTTGAAGTAACACAATTATCTCTCCATTTACTTACACAATTCCCAATGAATTAATGTAGCAGCAGATAGAATAACGTACGCTTAAAGAAATCTAAAAACGAAAGCTGGTTAACAGCATAAGTCCTTCTCAAAATAGCTAGTGTCAGAGTTAGCTAATTTGTAAATTACTGTTATGATTGGGGCAGTGTGCAACATTATATTTCTGATGTCATGGAAATGCTAGAAGAGAAAGAATTGCAAAAAATGAGTAGAAATTTTTAGCATCTGTTTGGAGGGGATCCAAATTTTTGCGTTCGTATTTAATAAAGCTCTATTTGGCACTTCCAAATTGACATACAAAAAGATGCCACTGAAGCTGTTGCAGCTAAAACTCACAAGCTCCTTTTGACTTTTATCAGGTGGTGTATAAAACAGGGTTTCATCTTCTCCATAAGTTTTTGGCTCTTTGTCTTTCGTTTTCTTCTTCCTCTTGCTTTTCCTCATTTTTTTATTTTTGAATTCCACACTTGACATTTCAGTGTTTTCATCCAAGGATGCAATTTGTCTTTGGGAAGCCAACTCCTGGAATAGACCATGTTCAAGTAAGCGCAATTAGCCCATAACTGGTAATCAAAATGAGGAAATACTGATCTTATCTTGTAAAAGCCTGTTCTTCTTGAAAAAAGGAAGGCAGTTAGCATGGAGAGAGGCCTCCTCTGAGATCAAATAGACAAAATCTCCTTCCCCAAACCAACACTGAGAAGAAAACACTCTTTTAGAGGAAGTCGCTGATAGTTTCACCTCTGTGATCAGGCGTATATTTTTCAATCTTTGCAACACAGGCTAAGATAAATAACACATAGTGTTATTTATTCTGTTGCTGCTCTGGAGGTGAGTGCATTCAGGGACAGATTATTCTTTGCCCCACCACTGAGACCAAGATAGTCAGAACCACCATTGACTTCAGCAATGTAGGAGAGCAACTTAATTATGTCCCCTGCTCTGAAGAAACCGGAACCATGAGGTAGGAGCAGTTTGGACCTTCTAACTTGGGTATTATCACTCCCAGATGTGGTTAAGGTTTCTGTGCACATGCACACTTCCTACAGAGGCTCAAACTGAAGCAGGGAACAAACAGCAAAGAGGCTTTCAGACACCATCATGCTCCTGCTTGAAAAGCTACTGTGATGGATGCTCAAACAGGAGAGCAGGGGAATGCCTCAAAACCCCTTTTGCAAAGAGCAAACGTGCTTTCAAACAGTGCTGCTCTGTGCTTTCTAGTCCCAAGAACTGGGACTCCAAAGCACAGCATCACCTGAAATTGTAGTGACTTGATGTTGTACTGATTGACAGATGAGTTGCCCTGTCCACCTGTCAGATTTTGTCTGCCACAGGGAAGGGAGATACGAATTTGGTGCAAAGGCCAGAAAAGGTTCCCACCTCCGATTTACAGGCATCTGAAGAATATTTCTTTGAAACGGATATTGAGCTAGCTACTTTCAAACTTTATTTTTTTTTAAAAGAAATATTTATTAAAGTTTTCCAAAAATATGAATACAAAAATACATGAAAAAAGAAAATTAAAAATACAACATACAAAATACAAAAAGAAAATAAGAAAAAATTAAAAAACAAATCCGTTTTTCATAACTTTAAACTCATTTGCTTGTTTCTTTGACCTCCTCACACCTCTCCTTCTTGTATTCCCATTTACATAATCAAATCAGCAAATCCTCACCCTCTTTCATTTATCTTAACTCTATATCATCTCATTTTATAATTCTATATTTTCATCCATTATCAATTCATTTTTGCATATTCTTATTAACTTTGTTGCTAATGCCACTTATTTTCAATCCAACATCATTTTAACATTCATTAATTTTACAGTGTTTCTGCAGATAGTCGTTAAATTTCTTCCAATCTTCTTCCACCAACTCTTCTCCCAGGTCTCGGATTCTGCCAGTCATTTCCGCCAATTCCATATAGTCCATCACCTTCATTTGCCACTCTTCCAAGGTGGGTAGATCTTGTGTCTTCCAATACTTTGCAATAAGTATTCTTGCTGCTGTTGTTGCATACATGAAGAAAGTTCTGTCCTTCTTTGGCACCGATTGGCCGACTATGCCCAGGAGAAAGGCCTCTGGTTTCTTCAGAAAGGTATATTTAAATACCTTTTTCATTTCATTATAGATCATCTCCCAGAAAGCTTTAATCTTTGGGCACGTCCACCAAAGGTGAAAGAATGTACCTTCATTCTCTTTACATTTCCAACATTTGTTATCGGGCAAATGATATATTTTTGCAAGCTTGACTGGTGTCATGTACCACCTATATATCATTTTCATAATATTCTCTCTCAAGGCATTACATGCCGTAAATTTCATACCGGTGGTCCACAACTGTTCCCAGTCAGCAAACATAATATTATGACCAATGTCTTGTGCCCATTTAATCATAGCAGATTTAACCGTTTCATCCTGCGTATTCCATTTTAACAGCAAGCTATACATTCTTGAAAGTATCTTAGTTTTGGGATCTAACAGTTCTGTTTCCAGTTTTGATTTTTCCACCTGGAAGCCAATTTTTTTGTCCAAATTATAGGCCTCTCTTATTTGATAATAATGGAGCCAGTCTCGCACTTTATCTTTTAATTTCTCAAAACTCTGCAGTTTCAATTTGTCTCCATCTTGTTCCAATATTTCCCAATATTTCGGCCATTTGGCCTCCATATTGAGCTTTTTCTGAGCCTTTGCTTCCATTGGTGACAACCACCTTGGGGTTTTATCCAATAAGTCTTTTTATCTTATCCAGACATTAAACAATGCTTTCCTGACAATATGGTTTTTAAATGCTTTATGTGCTTTAACCTTGTCGTACCACAAATATGCATGCCACCCAAGCTACTTTCAAACTTTATACCCTGAATTTAAAGCTTTCATTTTGAATTATTGGATATCTCCTCCAAACAACTTTCATTTTTCAATTCCTGAAGATACTTTTAAACTTTAGAAGGCATATCGTTCCTTGAAGATATTAATTCAAGGCATATTTTTGTATTCTTAAGGCTTTTCGCTTAATTAAGCAAGAAATACAAACCCAAGATCTACAGGTATGAGCAGAGTTTGGAATAGGCAAAGCTATGCCAGTTGAAATCCCTCATCCCTGCTCAGCCAGAGACATAGCTCAGCCGAGGTTCAGCTGAGGCAAGTCCAGAAAAGGGGATATTTTTTGGCATTCCAAAATCCATTCAGCTCTATCACATGACCTAGCAACCCTGTGGAAGTTACACTGGCATAATTTAAAAGCTTGTTTCCCTCTGCTAGGCTTGGGCCAGCTCATAGCCCCACTCTTGAATGCTGTTTGGAATAAGGGTAAATCACACCAGCATAATTTACATGGGTTTATACAATTCCTTGGGCTTCCTGTAGTTTTATTATTAAAGGTAAAGGGACCCCTGACCATTAGGTCCAGTTGTGGCCGACTCTGGGGTTGCGGCGCTCATCTCGCTTTATTGGTCGAGTGAGCCGGGTCATGTGGCCAGCATAACTAAGCGGCTTCTGGCGAACCAGAGCAGCGCACGTTTACCTTCCCGTTTACCTTCCCACTGGAGTGGTACCTATTTATCTACTTGCACTTTGACGTGCTTTCGAACTGCTAGGTTGACAGGAGCAGGGACCGAGCAACGGGAGCTCACCCCGGCACGGGGATTCGAACTGCCGACCTTCTGATCAGCAAGTCCTAGGCTCTGTGGTTTAACCCACAGCGCCACCCACATCCAGTTTTATTATTATTTATTGAATTTATATACTGCCCTATACCCAGAGTTTGGATTGCTCTGTGCCCATGTTTGCAAGCCATCCTGTACTATGTAGGTTTTTGAAAATATTTTATTTTGAAAGCAATTTTTAATTTTTCTAAGTAAATAGATAAAAAGGTCAGTCTATGACAAACAGCAAAAAGAGTGCAAAGTGGAGAATCACATTCCTGACCATCGCATCACCAATTGCAGTCAAAAGCTTTCAGCATTTTTACTGCCACCATCATAAAATCTATTAACGTATTTCATTTAATTCACATGTTAATGTTGCAATGTTTTTCCTCTTCCCCTACAAAAATTTAATAAGTATTAAATATTAAATTCTGTTATTGGAACTTCAGCCATAATTAAGTAGTAATTATCATGGATGAAGATACAACAATAGAATTATACATACTTTATTTCTATTGTTAACAACAGCAACAACAATAAAAACAATTAGGCTAAGTATATAATAATAATTTTTTTTAAAGTTTTACAAACCTTTTCCTTTTTTAGTAGTTCTTTTGCTTCACGAAGTAACAGCTCCCTTGCCTTTGTGTGTGCAAGTGTTGCTTTGTTTTGCTCTTCATATGCCATTGTTACAACAGCCAGGATTAAATTAAATAGATAAAATGAGCACAAAAAGATGATTATCACAAAAAAGATGCAGTAAGATTTCCCAGATGTTCTGATAACCTGCAAGTATGAAATACATAACTCATCATGTATTGTCTTTCAGCAAAACAATAATCAGAGAATAAAAGCAAATGTTAAAATAATCCAATTAATAGAATAGTAATAGAGCAACGGCATCAGGTCAAGCAACCACTGTTGTCTCCTAGTTAACTCAAAAAATCTGAGATATAATAAGATTGTTTTTACCTGCCAGTGGATACCCATCAAAGTCTCCACAATCAAGGCTTCTGTGAAAAGGGGAATCCTGAGTTGGGAGGTGCACACATGCACATAACAACAGAAAAATCCCCCTCACGCATCATCCTATAGCAGGCCAAGCCCACCAAAGAGATGAGAAGGATTCCTCCTGACATCAACCACAAAACTCAGGATGGATGATATGGGAGAAGGAAAGGCACAATGACCTCATAGGAGGTCATTTCAACTGTCAGTCATGATGTCCATTGAGCATTTGCATTCAACAAGCAAGGTGGAAGGTTGTTCGTGCTTGGTGCATCAAGAACAAGGTTAAGAGGACATCTGTGGCTGACCTACTATCATTCCTGCAAAATGGCCTTTGGAAGGGCCTTCACACAAATACCTCGAAGAAGCAGGCTGTAGCCATTTGCATGTTCAGACCCAGAAAGCTCCCCCCTAAATAAATTCACACTTGACTCAGATTTTTGGTTTGGTTTTTGGCAGAATTTAGGCCACAACTTTATTGATTACAGAAAGTGACTGGTTGCATAGGCTCTGGTTCGACTAGCTCCCTGCCATGCAGGTAGCGTTGACCCAGGGTTCCAGTATAGGTCAGCCAAGGGTGAACACCTGGATAAGCGGAAAGCCGGGAACGGGGCTAACTCCGCCACCCAAATGTCCCCCTGGACTCAGGCACGGGCACAACCCCCTCACAGGGGTGGACCAAACCATCAAGTCCCTGGATTCCTTTAACAGAATACCCTTTACATAGGGATGACGAGAGTGTTCTCCCATCCCCATCACCTGAACCAGAGCCTATCTGCAACCTTACAAGTTGTGACGATTTGCTACGCGGCAGGCGAATCCCAGATGGCAACAGCCATTCAGCCAAGTGGGGAAAATTCCTGCCGTGCCACTGTCCCAACGACAGATGACACACAATGGCATATCAAGGTCAAGCGCAACAAGCCCTAAAAGTTGGGAGAGGTGGGCGGGTGTTCCAAATGCACGCGCCGAAAGAGGAAGCTCTGGGTCACGTGCATTGGCATAAATAGGTCTCTCGAACCGTTTGAACTGTGTCTCCTTGGCCAGATTGTACCCAGCTTCGAGGGACCTACCAATCAGGTGTTGTGGCTTACCATTTGTACCCACCCACAACACAGGGTGTTGGTTGTCCAGGTCTCACCACAATACGTGCCCTCTTTAACGGTGGACCTGATTTCCTCTATGCTTTCTAAACCTAATTCTCCTTCCTTCTATACTTCTAGTTATATGTTTTCTTAGAGGTGCTATGCTGAAGTGTCTTCCCATGGCACACAGGTTCCCTTCACGGGACCGTCATAAGATTCTGACAGCTTTACACTTACACTTTGATTGATCGCTCATTTCACTAGGGCTGCAGTTGCTTCTGCGGCTTTCGCTACTAATGGTGCTCTTCATAAGGCTTGTACAGACGCTGCATGGGCTTCTCCAAACACTTTCATTCATCACTACACAATTGATAATTATGCAGAGGCAGAGGCTGCATTTGGAAGGAGGATCCTGCAGCAGGTCTCTCCATGATAAATTACGCAGGGGTACAGTCAAGGGACCCACCCTATCAGGATTAGCTTTGCTATGTCCCAACATACCATCCCTGCTAGCCAAAGTGAAATAGTACGGTTGGTACCAACATGAAGCGTAGATTTCCTTCAGTGTAAATTGTCTGCACTTAAAAAAAAGACTATAGGTCTTTCCCCCTATTAAACTGTTCAGTGTTAGTAGTGGAAGTAGTGTTAGTAGTGGAAGTTCAGTGTTAGTTGGAAGTAGGCTTTCTGTTCCTGATGGTGGTTTTTCTGTTGCTGATCTCTGTTACTTGCTTCTAAGTTTCTCCTTAAATTCCCGAGCTTATGTTTCATACCCTCCAAGTGTCCCGATTTTCCTGGAAGGTCCCTGTTTCCTCAGAGTGCTGAGCCCGGAGAGGAGAATAAGCTAGTGTTTGTCCCGAGCAGTGGTGGCAGCAGCAGTGGCAGCTACGAAGGAGCATCCTGTTGCCTCTCCCTGGCTCTCCATGGCTGCCACTGACAACCTCCTCCTTTGAGCAGTTCATAGCAGCTGCTGGAGAACGGGAGAAGAGGAGAAAAGGCTGCCACTACCGAGGCTCAGCCCTGGGCAGGAGTGGGGCACAAGGGGTATTGATGATGATGATTAAAAAGCTTTGCACATCTGTGCCTAATCTTGCCCTTTTCTAAAATGTATTTATTGGTGTGTGGGTTGTTTTTTGTAACTCCACCAAAGAAGAAAATAAAATAAAGTTTGGATTAAGGTGTTTTCTCAGGATGGTGGTGTGTGTTCTGTTGGTGCAGTGGTGATGACACTCACCCTTCTTCAAATAGGGAGTGCTCCGCGGGGCGGGGGGGGACACAAAAACATGGGGGCGGGGGTTTGAAGAGGCTCAGTTGTGGGAGGGAGTGAAAAATGTTACTATTTTCATCTGAGAAATATTAAAGGGTATGTTTCCTGTATGGAAGTCCATGGAAGCATCATGGTACTTCCAGTATACTTCCGAAGTGTTCATTTCTGACTTGACCAGAAGGTGGAGCCATAACCCAAATGTCCCTGCTGTGTTAAAGGAAATTTACCCTTCGAGTAGATACCAACAGTACATTAAAAAAAAAAGTTTTACCTGCCGATAGAGGATTTCCCAACTATCCTGTGTCATCAGTCGGAACAATGATAGAAAGGCCCATCCAAAATGATCGAAACTGGTGTATCCATCATCAGGATTTTCTCCATGTTTCACACAATAATAGCTTCCGTTTTTACATTCAGTTTCACTTATAAAAGAGAATACATTATGTTACTGATAACTTTCAAGTAAAAGATCTCTCTGACTGCTTACCTCACAAGTGGAACCTGGACATTCACATCTTTCTCAAACATACTTAATCTTCTAGGTTTTGTTATAGTCTCAACGTCAATATTGAACAGAGTTTATTAAAATCAAACCAACGTTATCAACATTTTTACTGGCCCCTGTGATAAGTTATAATTTTATTCCCCTGCTACAGAAAAGTTTTACATGTTCAGAGAAAGCTATTAAAGGCATAATGGCATAGGACTAGCCCATCCTATCTCAAATTCCGTGTGGGAGCAGTAACTATAAATGGTGGAGGCAGAAGGGTCTGAGCGAAGGATTTGCTTCTTAATAGACAGTACCCCTAGTTCTAAGAATCACCTGGCAGATGTAATTGTGCTAAGGAGTGACCTTGAGAGACTTATTTCAGTGGCTCAATGAGGTGTTGTTGTTTTACTTAAAGCCCAGAATACCTTGTGGAGATCCCATGAGGGGAACCTTTGCACTGTTTGTGAGTTAAGTTGTGTTGAACCTCTGAGGAGAAGATGAAGGTAGGTAATAACTGAGTGGTCTGTGACCTTATTTTGAGAGGACCAAGAAAAGGTCAGAGGCTTTTCTGTGAGTGGTTGGGGATAGTCTCTGGTGAATGCTTGCTTGTACAAAGATAACATGTTCCTTGAAACCTGCTTTGGCATGTAAGACTCTCCCACTTTTACCATATTAGGAAGACTGTCCAGATTACTTCATAGATGTGACATGTAAATGTTCTTCTAGATCAGGCTTCCTCAACCTCGGCCCTCCAGGTGTTTCTGGCCTACAACTCCCATGATCCCTAGCTAGCAAGACCAGTGGTCATGGATGATGGGAATTGTAGTCTCAAAATATCTGGAGGGCCAAGGTTAAGGAAGCCTGTTCTAGATTCTTGGAGACTCTCTTCTAGATATGACTAGAGTAACAAGGAAAGTTTATCCTACATACTTCCTCCTCTTCTTTTTTCTCCCCAGTGGAAGATCTGACCGAACGACTAGTCATGATGGCTCTCCTACATCAGGTATTAGAGGCAGCATGCCTCTGAACAACAGCAGGAGAGGATGATTCCCAAGGACATTGGGTTGGCTGTTGTGAAAGACATGCTGGGCAGTGTTTCTAGATAGACCTTTGGCCTGATCTAGCACCACTCTTCCTTTGCTTCTGATACATTTTCAGAAGTCAGATCCATCTACTATTGAAAGGGGAGACTGGTCAATAAGGTACATTGATTAAGTGGAGTGTGTTGGAGGTGGATCAGTTTTCTTGACCCCTTCCTGCCAGGGAATCCTCTGGGGAAGGGACACTCAAGGCAGAAGGACCTTTTATTGTGCTTGATCTTATTTACTCATGTCTGTTTGCCTGAAGGCATTTCAGAATCTGAAGGGAAGGGAAAGAGATGATTGATACACTTTCCTCCCTAGCTAAGAATTGGGGTAAGGATTAGTTTTGTTTTTACTCTTATTAGGCCAATGAAGGCAGGGACTAGAACTGTTAGGGGATCTCCCTCTGCATAAATTCTGCCTTTCAGAAAAACCCACTATAGATATACTCCTCCACCAACAGAGTCGGGGTGATTTTTATCAGGTCTGCAGCATAGAAGGAAATTATTAAACGTCCCAGTCATGCATGGCTGCTGTTTAAATTTTAAAACTAAGCATGTTAATTGTTTTAATTGTTAATTGTATTAACATTATTATTATTATTATTAGTAGTAGTAGTAGTAGTAGTAGTAGTACCCTGTCCATCTGACTGGGTTGCCCCAGCTATTCTGGGTGGCTTCTAGCATATACAGAAACATAGTAAAACTTCAAACATAAAATACATCTTTATACAGGGCTGCCTTCAGATGCCTTCTAAAGGTTGTATAGTTACTTATCTCCTTGACATCTGATAGGAGGGTGGTTGCCATCACCAAGAAGGCCTGCTTCCCTGTAACCTCACTTCTTGCAGTGAGGGAACCGCTAGAAGGTCCTCGGAGCTATATCTCAGTGTCCAGGCTGAATGACAGGGGTGAAGACGCTCCTTTAAGTATATATGGCTGAAGCCATTTACAGCTTTAACAATTAACATCTCGTCGAGTTTGGTCCTCAGTTACACTTACTTGGGATGTGAGGTGTATCCACACAGCAATACATCAGTAGAAGAATTCTTTTTCTGATATACTTCTGGAAGCAAACATTTTGGAAGCAAAAGTAATAGTCATTTAAAGCCTCTTCCTACCTCACAATACAATGGATGTAGTTATCAGCTGAATAACAAACTCACAGTCAGGTGGCTAACCTGCGTCTGACCCACCAAGCCACATGAAATTGGCCCATCAGACCCTGCAGCAGTATCCCCTGATCTGATTGAGAGAGTAGAATGCTGGACTTTTTGCAAGAAGTTCATTTTCTGCAGTGAATGGAGGGGACCCACATATGGGTTGTGTCCCCCACTCACTTCACTAGGCAAGATATGCAGATTGATGACACCCAGAGACTGGGAGGGTAACCCACCTCAGTTTCCACAACAGTATGCAATCATGGCAATGCAACTGGCAAACAGAATAGAACAGGAACAGAAAAACCAACAGGGAACATACCCCTGGACACACCCTCCCTGCCTCATTTTACTACGTACTGCTGTACTTACATTTTAACCCAATACATCCGCCTACTGCAGTCGCCCTAAGCACTGAGAGCATTGGATCTACTCCATCCCCTGCAGAAAATGAATGCAAGTCCAACATTCTATGTTATGTAAGCAATATGCTACAGATTTAAAGGAGGGTGTTTTTACCTGAATCCTGTAACGTGCATGACTCCTCCTTGCTGATGCTCTTATTCAAGTAAGAAGCATGGACACATTTATATTTTAAGTTGCCCATGAAGAGTTGGAGGCCAACCAGGGCAAAGACAGCCAAGCAGAAAACTGTCAACAGCATCACATTGGCAAGCTTCTTGACAGACTGAAGAAGTGAAGCTATAATGACTTTCAGTCCTATGAACAGAAGAGTAAATATTATACAGACTGATAACAGAGGACAAAAACTACAGCCCTTTTGAATTATGTTTCTCAGTTATTATCTTAATAATAATAATAATAATAATAATAATAATAATAATAATAATAATAATTTATTTGTACCCCGTCCATCTGGCTGGGTTTCCCCAGCCACTCTGGGCGGCTTCCACAGAAACAAAAAATACAGTAAAATCACACATTAAAAACTTCCCTGAACAGGGCTGCCTTAAGATGTCTTCTGAATGTCAGGTAGTTGTTTATCGCTTTGACATCTAATGGGTCTACGCTATGGAAAGCATAGCCCTGAAGTCCAACTATTGCAATGTGCTTTAGGGGTGGGGAGATGGGAGTGCATAACAGTGTCGCACCTTCTGATAGTGTCTGTCTCCTGATTTGTTTTTGGAAGTGCACCAGAATTTGAACAAGCTCCCTATAGGCTATAGTCTTCTGGTACCATTTAAAGTTCAGCTTTGATCTATAATAAGGTTACCAAACGTCCCTGTTTCTCGGGTACAGTCCCTGGATTTACAAATCAGTCCCCTGACAAAATCCTATCATTCCTACTCAAGTTGAAAAGTGTCCCTGGATTCATTGAAAAAAAATCTGGTAACCTTAATCTATAAATTGTGGTGTTGTCAGAACTTTTCTCTTTTGTGACTTACTGTTTCACTGAATTTTCATAATAGATTGTTTTTAACTGTTTCTTATTTGGGTTAGTTTGAATTCCTTGAGTGAAAGGTGGAAGACAAATTTAGTAACTGAACAAACAGACAAAGCAAGAAAAAGAGCCTCTCACCTGGGATTACAGAAACAGCTTTTAAAGTTCTCAGAACCCTGAAAATTCGGATAGCTGAAATGCTACTAAAAGGCAAAGCCAAAGCTGCGTACCTGAAAATTTCAAAATATGAAAAAAGATATCGACAGACTCATCATTTTATAAGACAATGCTACTGGTAGCTATAGTTTGTATTCTGCACACATATTCTTACCTGCCCCCGCCAATCCCTGCCTTCCCCCATACAACGGGCTATTAGTGTGGCATGTGGGCTACAACTGAGGGGTAGGACACAGCATTAATATTACAAAGGCTCTGGGTTCAATCTCCCACACTTCCGGGGGGAGGGGAATCTCAAGGAGCAGGAAACTCAAGCAGAGCTACTGCTTGCCAGGAGCATGCAGCAATGGGTTAGAAAGACCTATCATCTGATTTAGGATAAAGAAGCTTCATGTGTGTATATTGTTTTTGGGAAAAGGCCTTACTCACTCAGTGGTAAAGCAGATACTTTGCATGCACAAAGTCCCATTTTGTGTGTATGTAAACTCAGGGATGGCAGGGCCACAGACCATTCCATTCCACCACACGCTGTACTAGCATTCAGTTTATACTGAAACAAACCTCCACACATAGTTTAAGTGACTGGCCGTTTCATAAGAAGAAGAAGAGTTTGGATTTGTTATCCTGCCTTTCACTCCCTTTAAGGAGTCTCAAAGCGGCTAACATTCTCCTTTCCCTTCCTCCCCCACAACAAACACTCTGTGAGGTGAGTGGGGCTGAGAGACTTCAAAGAAGTGTGACTAGCCCAAGGTCACCCAGCAGCTGCATGTGGAGGAGCGGAGACGCGAACCCGGTTCCCCAGATTACGAGACTACCGCTCTTAACCACTACACCACACTGGCTGTTCAAAATTGTGCAGATATTTCTACAACGTATAGTTAAAATTTGACACAAGTCCAAAACACTCCTCATCCAAAGGGCACAACATGAAGTCTAATAGTAGCTAGAATTAGTAGATTAACAAGTCGAACTACATCCACAATGGGTGAAATTCAGCATCATCCTACGGTGAACATCCTGTCAATGCAAGTAGTGCAGGTTGCCAGACGTAACTATCCTCCTCTCCTTCCCCTCCCCCACTGTTCTGGGGGTTCTCCCCACATTGCCTGAGCCAATTTTGGGGTGTGTCAGAGTTGCGATGGGAAGGAAAGGAAGGGAAAGCCCTGTTACGCAAGCAGAAGTTTTCACACAGGGCTTACAATGACAGAACTTGTTAGGCGATTCCCACCTTATATGTTTAAATGCTCCCAAGGTCAGCAGCATCTTCACATGCAAAGCTACCAGAATTCTAGCTCTAGTTTTTCTCCTGTATGAAAAATTATAAACTGCAAAGAAGAAACACTGAAACTTACGTCATAATTAAAACAAATAAATCCAAAACGTTCCAGGGATCTCGAAGATAGGTGAATTCATTCAAAACAAATCCCCTTGCAACTATTTTTACTGCAAATTCAACTGTATAAATAACTGTGAAAATATACCTGAAAATCAAAGCCAGAGAAACAAAATCATTACCAGTGGGGAGGGAATCAAGGCTACTCATGTGCTACTTCCCACATGAAGCCCAAGGAAAAATGGAAGTGCTATGATGGCATTGTAGGCAAAGGTGTGGTTAGATTTCATTATACGATTACTGTATAATATTTATTTATTTCCATCTCTGAGCCAACTGCTAGATAAGGCTTGCACATTGTATGATCCAGAAAGCAAAATACATCCCACCAGTCACATATGAGCTGCTGTTTGACTCACCCTCCCCTTACTTTTGCAGTCCCAAGCAAGACAGTATAATAGGAGACTTAGGGCTTGTGCACAAATGAGCATTATTTTGCTGCTAATTCACTTCCTCACCCCCACTCAAGTTAGACCTGAGTAGACCTCAGTGCACCTATTTGAATATCAGGTGCACCTCTAGTATTTCCCAATTACAAGCAGGCATCCCTTCTGTGTTTATTCCTGCCTTCCAATGGGTTGATTCTCATTCAGTCCATAGATTGTACATGAAGTGTGGAGTGATACTTACTCAGCGATTTGGTAATTTTCTGGAGGCTTGTTTAAAGTCATAAAAATACAGTTAACGAGAACCACACATGTTATGAATGCTATGAATAATGTACATGATGTGTTAAGGAAATAGTGTTTCATTGAAAAATAAGGGGTAGACCTCCAGGTATAAGGTGGTATATAAATTAAACAAACAAATAAATATTCAACACCTTGTGGTAAAATATGAGTAACCAAAATAAATGTGATTAATGCTACTTACTATCATGCTCTTAAATTAAAAGGAAAAATCTAAAAATAATGCATTTTCTTTAGTTTAACTTTGCTTGCTTCTTGTCTATTCAGCATAGTAACTGTTATGAACCTTAGGCTATAGTCAGCATCAGGACTGATACAAGGTAGTTCCCATGCACATTTTCAAGCACTTGAGGTTGATCGGAAGAAATCTCCTTTCAGCCTTTTAACAGTAGACAGTCTTGCCTTTATTCTCTGGGTAACTGAAGAATGGATGCTTTTGAATTATGGTGCTGGAGGAGACTCTTGAGAGTCCCATGGACTGCAAGAAGATCAAACCGATCCATTCTGAAGGAAATCAGCCCTGAGTGCTCACTGGAAGGACAGATCGTGAAGCTGAGGCTCCAAGACTTTGGCCACCTCATGAGAAGAGAAGACTCCCTGGAAAAGACCCTGATGTTGGGAAAGATGGAGGGCACAAGGAGAAGGGGACGACAGAGGACGAGATGGTTGGACAGTGTTCTCGAAGCTACCAGCATGAGTTTGACCAAACTGCGGGAGGCAGTGGAAGACAGGAGTGCCTGGTGTGCTCTGGTCCATGGGGTCATGAAGAGTTGGACACGACTAAACAACTAAACAATAACAACAACAAGCAAGATCCATGTCTAACCCAAACAAGAGCTCTTGAAGGTACAAAAGAAGATTTAGGGGACGTGACGTGTCACCCATGGGGGTGTGACGCACGTCCGTGGTTGTGCAGCATGTGGCACACGTCCCGGGGGTGGTGGCCAGAATGGCACCCTATCCCCAAATGGTGCCCCCCCTTTGTACGCCAGTGGGGCAATGGTTGCCACTTTTAGTCATCAGGCCAGCTCACCATATGCCCAACCCCACAACATTCAGACCTTCTGCTGCCTGCATGGATGTTGAGTGTAGGAAAGCATCCCTCCTTACCTGCACATTTCATACCTTCAAAACAGGGCTAGTATGTCCAGTATAGAATAAACCAAGGCATTAAAGATGGGTATGAACTTCTGGGTGAAGCGAAGGGAATACGGAACAAAGTTGCATAAGCAAACCAATTTCTAGCCTACAGTTACACACTTGGGACATGTACTGTTTATAATTTGGGGTTGTATGTTTTGAGGTGAAGGGATCATGTTACAGTAGCTCTGATCATTTAACTATAGTATGAAACATGGACCTAATGGTCAGAGGTCCCTCTACCTTTATGGGGAAGTGAGTGGCGCTGTGGGTTAAACCACAGAGCCTAAGGCTTGCCGATCAGAAGGTCGGTGGTTCGAATCCCCGCGACAGGGTGAGCTCCCATTGCTCGGTCCCTGCTCCTGCCAACCTAGCAGTTTGAAAGCACGTCAAAGTGCAAGTAGATAAATAGGTACCGCTCTGGCGGGAAGGTAAATGGCGTTTCCGTGCGCTGCTCTGGTTCACCAGAAGCGGCTTAGTCATGCTGGCCACATGACCCGGAAGCTGTACGCCGGCTCCCTCGGCCAATAAAGCGAGATGAGCGCCGCAACCCCAGAGTCGGCCACGACTGGACCTAATGGTCAGGGGTCCCTCTACCTTTACCTTTATGAAACATGACTGCAAGACAAGGGATCTTAATATACAGGGCCAGCAAAACAAGTGGCTCTCATATTGTATGGACTCACCACAGGAGAATGGCTGATGGTCAGTTTTCCTAAAGGTGCATTTGCACCATCTCATTTTCTTTTTTTATTTCAGTTTTTAATTTGTGAGTATAATAGAAAAAAGAGAAAAGCAAATAATAATAATAATAATAATAATAATAATAATAATAAACATTGTCAGGTGACCTTAAGAATAATAATATTCCATCAATCCTGATTTAAACATATAAATTAATACAGGCAGTCCAAATAGGTATCTAAACAAAACAGATAATTATAAGCCATGTGTTCAAGGACAGAAAGGACACTGAGATCTTCAACCTGCTGAGCACCAGCTGATTATATCTGTCACTGCAAATTACAAGGGGATCTGGCCTAGCCTACATTTCATCTAATCTTCTGTAGGTCTAAATAATAAATTGTACTCTTTCTTCTTAGTAACACAGCTGAAATTTTGTTTTGAACTGCAATAGTGGACCATAGCAAAGTTGCAAAACCCAGGATAATAAATAAATAAATAAATTATTATTTGTACCCCACCCATGTCTCCCCAGCCACTCTGGGCAGCTTCCAACAAAATATTAAAAATAGAATAAATCATTAGTCAAACATGTGAATCCAGTCAAATATTACAGAAAATGAGGGTGGGTGAGTGAGTAGGAGTTAACTTCAATGGTCAATAGCTAATCTAACCTACAATAAACTTCATTTCAAATTCAAATAGATAACCATGGAACATAAAGAAAAACCTACTCACTAAACCTCCACATAATATTTTATTGGGACACACCTTTTCACTTTTCGGAATCCTAAGAAAGATATATTAAAGCTCATATATATACAACTAACAGTTCTCTGTGGTTCTGTATAAGAGATTAAGAATGAAGGAAACCCATTGGAAGGATATGTGTGTATCAAAATTTTCACAGCTAGTCTTCTCAGTGGATGGAAAGGACTGAAAAAAAACAAGGCTTTGGTGGCAGAAAACCGAAAGATTCTGTTCCTGGCTGATAGCACCATAAAAGTCTGTAAAATAGATGGAAATGCTTTTTAAATATAACATGCTCACGATAGACCTACTGTCTACAAATATAAACACACTGCAACTTCATAAAGATTGACTGGGGAGAACAATATGGACTGCAGATGAAAGTAGACAAACACAGAAGTACAACTCATTCTATTTATACATCACTCAGGAGACCCATCGTTATGACAAGGAGCTGCATAAAAGACTGGGTAGTGGTAGCCATTCACTGAAGGCCAAACACACACGGATGGCACAGATCAGTGCTTTTATCTTAGTTTGCTGCTTTTTGCAATGAAATAAATCACCAGCCCCTGATTCAGATGAGAGTCGTGCCATGGAATTCATTTGCAAAATAAATAATGGGAGTTTGGAAGTTGATGTTGCTCTGCTGTTTTATTCATTTGCTTAAGTTACAGAATGATTCTACCTCTATTTTTATTAAGAGGCCAGTGGACTGCTTATACTTCTGCTTGCTGATAGCAAACATAAACAGCAGGCACGGCTACAAATGAAATAAAGTGATACATCTCATCCAGCATAAGACGAATATGCTGCATTATCACAGTGACAAAGACACTGATTTTATGGCCTCCATTAAAATCTTAATTTGATGAATTAATACAAATGTAGTACTTCAGCAGAGGTTATTTCGTATGAAGTTTATCTCAAATGCACAACAAATCATTCTGACTGTGTATGCTTATTCATAGCATGTTCACTGAAAAATATATTTCGCCTGGGTCTACTGGTTGTAATGTTGAACATAATGAAGTGCATGTAAGTGCCATAAAAATTAAAAGTTAAATGTTCATAACTGTACACATTTCTACAGCTTGTTATCTGAAAAATTAACGCTGAACATTTAGGCTCCTGTCCACAGATCTGCTTTAATGTGCATGTGGTACCATTTAAATGAGTATTCTGTCCAAGAGGTGCATGAACATTTATAGCAATGTTAACAAAGAATAGACTTTTTAATTAAATGCCAGATACTATGCTTAAAGATTTGATCATATTTATTAAATTAATTAATGTTTTCAGACCTGTTCTGAAATTCATTTGTAATTTCTACTTTGACTGCTACACAAGAAGAAACTGCAGCATTTTTGTTTTTGGTTTACAAAAACATTTTATGTAACAAAAATTCTTACAATTTACTTTAAAGAAACTGTATCACCTCACGATCCTTGTAATAGGGATCAACATCTTCCAGTGGTTCTCCAATGAGCCAAGGAGGGGGTTTTCCATATAGAATAGGGAGCTTTTTAAAAACTTTCAGATCAAGCTGTGGTTGAATATTTTCTTCTTGCTCTTGACTATTGCCCTCCTCTGCGGCCTTGGCACGCTTTGCTTTCTTCTCAGCAATTCTCTTTTTAATTTGATCCAAGGTCTCAGGAGTAAACCGAAGGAAATTACTAGCCGTTGAAAAAGAAAAATTTGGCATCTTCTTGCACTGGGAACAAACAAATATTCTGATTACAAAGGGAATAACACAGATAGTAAAAGTCCCATAATAACAGAAGATTTGGGAGGGTCAGTTGATACCATGGTATCAGCAAAACTGCACACATGATAAAAAAATATTTAATGGACCCCACAATACATTAGAGTGGTGCAAATTATTTATTTCTAAAATGTATATACCACTTTTTTCAATCTGTTCCCATTTCACATGCATATTTATATAATAACTAAAGATGTCTGAATTAGGCCAGTTCAGAACTTTAGTAACAAGTCCATTGATGTAAAAGTGCCTACTCTGAATATGACTTAGTTAGATCAACTCCCAGCTTAAAGTGACTCAAAACATTTTTTGTGAACGGAGAATGAAACTGTACATTACACAGAAAATCAACAGCAGTGGACAAAGCTATCTTGTAGGTTATCTTGCCATTAGCATTATTGAGGAACCCTTCATGAATTTCTAGGAAACCCCAAACTTCTTACAATACTGTACTGTACAGATTTTTGAAACAGACTTGTATGTGAAGATGAAAAATAGATCTGACACACGTGTGGGTAATTAACAAACGTATCAGCTTAGAGTCAAAATGCAGGGCTTTGCACACTCTCCAGAGGGAGAGAACCCCCAGCAGAGTTAAAAACACTTTTTTTGTGAAGAAATATAGTAGTAGAAAATTCCCATAGAAAAAATGTTGCACCTACCATTATGGGCTAAAATCAGGCCTCACCGCCATTTTACATGCAAGCAGATAAATAATAATAATAATAATAATAATAATAATAATAATAATAATAATAATAAAATTTATTTATATCCCGCCCTCCCCAGCCGAAGCCGGGCTCAGGGCGGCTAACAACAATAAAACAGTACAAAAGTACAGCATAAACAACATTCTAAAATCATTCATTATAAAATTAATTAATTCAAGCCACTGGCAACCATTGGGCCAGAGCTCCGCGAAGATTGCCGAAGGAGGGAGTCAGGCTGTGCCCTGGCCAAAGGCCTGGTGGAACAGCTCTGTCTTGCAGGCCCTGCAGAAAGATGTCAAGTCCCGCAGGGCCCTGGTCTCTTGTGACAGAGTGTTCCACCAGATCGGATCCACAGCCAAAAAAGCCCTGGCTCTAGTTGAGGCCAGCCTAACTTCTCTGTGGCCTGGGATCTTCAAGATGTTTTTAAGTAACGAAGAATATGTGGTTGCCAGTCTTATACATAATTTGATGCTAGAATTAGTGGCACACATTATCTGGTAAGAAACCTTACTGTAAACTAGGGTGGTCCAACCTCTCTGACCATGTGAGCCACAAACGTATTTTGACACAGAACCTGGCAGGCCACATACTGAATTAAATTTCCATATTGTTAATTAAAGTTTTCACAATATAGTTAATAAATAATGATGTATAAGCAATAAATATATTTAAAGGTAAGCACTCCTAAACCTACTCCCTAGTATGTATGCACTAAATCAGGTTGCTAGGCTGTGATCTGTAAAACAGGATCACAACTCCGTGCCTGCTGACCTGGGATTAAGCCCTGCTCAGGTCAGAATGTGCAAGCCTTATGCGTTCCTACTCATAAGAAAATGTTGTTAAGTTCACTGAGACTTACTCCCAGGTAAATTCATACTGTATAGGGCTGTAGCCTTAAATATATACGTGGAGGTATCCAGTTGTCCAATTCCAGTGGGGGGGGCAATACCTCTCTTGCATTAATACATTATTATTGCTATGAATATTTTGTTGCTGCCTATATATACACAGAAGGACGCGGGTGGCGCTGTGGGTTAAACCACAGAGCCTAGGACTTGCTGATCAGAAGGTCGGCAGTTCGAATCCCCGTGAGAGGCTGAGCTCCCATTGCTTGGTCCCTGCTCCTGCCAACCTAGCAGTTCGAAAGCACGTCTAGTGCAAGTAGATAAATAGGTACTGCTCTGGTGGGAAGGTAAACGGTGTTTCCATGCGCTGCTCTGGTTCGCCAGAAGCGACTTAGTCATGCTGGCCACATGACCCGGAAGCTGTACACCGGCTCCCTCGGCCAATAACGCGAGATGAGCGCTGCAACCCCAGAGTCGGCCACGACTGGACCTAATGGTCAGGGGTCCCTTTACCTTTTATATATACACAGAGCAGCCCCAGGCAATGTTAGAGGCGGGGAGGGATAGCACATTTTGCCCCCTAGAGGTTGAGGTAGTTGCGGAGGAAAGGGCATTGGTACGCGGGGCAGCAGGGGTGTGGCACGTCACACGTGGGGTGTGGCAAGTCACACGCGGGAGCGTGGCACGCCGCACGCGGGGGCATTGCATGTGTGAGCATCCCAAGGGGGAGGTGCCTGCCCGCCCGAGCATCCTATTGTAGGCGTCCGCCTGTGCAAGCGTTGTCCTAATGGGGCAGCGCCCGCCTGAGCAAGCGTCCCAAGGGGGAGTCGCCCATCCGTGTGAGCATCGTCCCAATGGGGTGGCACCCGTCCATGCAAGCATCGTCCCAATAGGGCAGTGCCCATTTGTGCGAGTGTCCCAAGGGGGAGGTGCCCGCCCGTGGCGATGTTACCCCTCCGACTGGCACCTGGAGCGGACCACCGCCCGCCCCTTCCTCTGCCACTGGGTTGAGGAAGGCATTACAAATGCCTTCGCTGTTTGTTTTCATGTGCACCTCACAGCAACAACAAAAAGGAGCAGCTAATCAAACCATTTTAAGAAGTCCTGAAGGTTGCTGAGGGCCACCAAAAACGGCCTCAAGGGCTGCATGTGGCCCCCAGGTCATGTGTTTGACCACCCTACTGTAAACTAAAAACATTTTTTTCAGGTGAAACAATTAAATGATACTTCAGAAAACCAAGACTGATAATGAATACTCAAAACAGCAAGTTGGAGCATGGCACCCATGAAAATGTAAAACACACTTGTGAGTTGACATGCCACCTTTCTGTTTGAAATGGCATGCTGGTATCTTCACTTACAAGCCAACTGGTTTGATTTCTTCCTTGTTATCTTTTGCCCCTCAGATGCATATCAAGGGGCAACTCAGAAATAGGGGACAGAATAATATACTTCAGAGTAAATGCATTAAAAAACACAACAGAACGGGTGTGCTTCAGCCACCGAATCTTAAAGAGGCTTCTAAACAAAAAGCTGAGTCCCAAAACATAAAAGAATTTCGAGTAAAAACCAAGAATAAATGTTTTTGCAATGAATTTGAAAAAGATAGCTTGCAGAGAGATGCATTGGTACTCCACCAATACAATTGATTCAGCTTTAATCCTAGAGTTTACAGCTGAACATAAGAAAGCCAGGGTGTTTTGCCAGCTATAGGGGTGGGGTGGAAAAGGATATGTGCTCAAGAGCAGGTGGGCAGTAATAACACATCTCTTTCTTACGGTAAGAATCTAGTAAATCTGTACAATTTAGTACAACTCTAAACGCTTCACAAACAATGCAACCAGAACGGTCAATTGAATGTTTCCCAGGTGTTTTATTCCTGACCACAAAATTTATGTGCCATGCCTGTAAGGCATACATTGAATCAGTAACTTCACACTGCCTTCTCAGAATTCTACATAATTCTTCATAAGCAAGAACTTTTTAAAAAAAAAATAATAGCAGCATTCCTATCAGATACAAATAACCATACTTTTATGAAATAAAAAAGAAGACATTTTCAACAATTTCCTGTAATTTTCTCACATTTTCCAGTTCATTCTCATTGCCAAGAAGATTACTTACATTTTTCTGTGTAACAGCATCAGATTCACTTCATCTCAATAGAATATAACAGACTTTCCCCCAAGTTGATCTTTTTCCAAAATAGCAAACAGTTCACCTTACTTTGTCAGATTCCACATTATTCTTTAGAAATTTCTTCCTTGCTTTCTCTTAAGCTGAAACTGTAATTTGTACAGACTTGTGATGGAATGGGAATGTCAAGGAGGAGGAGCATGCTTTCTGGCTTGAGATAAATAAATTGGATCCCAAGAGATTATACAGGAAACAAAATAATATGAGGAAGTAAATGGAGATGGTAGTAATTCTACATTATCAACTTCTAAAAGGCACAAGTTATTTCATCTGTTGAAACACTGTGAAGCTAATGACACAAAAAGGTTTTGCTCACCAGAACCAAGGGAAAAGAGCAATTAGGTAACAATCTGTCTTGCAGTCTCTTAAATATGTACTTAGTGAGCCAATATTTTCTATTACGTAACATTAATTTTCAGTGCCATTCCAACTACTTTGATATTAATAGAATAATTCTTTTCTTGCTTAAAAAGATCTCTTTGATGTATATAGGGATTAATCTGTATGCTATAGAAGGAAGGTAGCAGGATGAGATTTAAAGAGCTGAGCAGGACCTTTCTTCATTTGTAAGTGCGGTTCTGAATGCATGGCAGGAGATACCCATAAGCGTCTATAGAGCCTTTCTTCTTACATTGGGCTTGGTACACTGCAATTCAACTGTCAGTTAACAGCACTGTATAGACTAATTGCACAATCCTATACACACATACCAAAATGTAAATTCCACTGAGACCATTGATTAGAATGCAAGGTTGCAATATATATAATTGTTAAGAAAATTACCAAAAAATAAACACATCATTTGTTATATGGATATTGAATCACCCAACTCATGTTTTATTGAATAGTCTCCAGCCCTTGAATAGGACTCAGTTGCTGTGCTATTCAGTTGTTATTAGCTCCATAACATGAAAATATGGACCTGCTGATTTTGTGTAAGGGAAAGGGGCAAGCTAGAACACCTTTTCTGGTCATTCAGCAAATACAGTAGCCCAACATAATGTCTTTGAAAACCAAAATAAAATTACAGGCTAGGTTCTGTTTATACTTTGTTATTTTATTTTTGTTCTTAGCAGACTATCATTCCCTGATACAGTGGTACCTCAGGTTACATATGCTTCAGGTTACATACGCTTCAGGTTACAGACTCCGCTAACCCAGAAATAGACCTCGAGTTAAGAACTTTGCTTCAGGATGAGAACAGAAATCGTACTCTGGCGGCGTGGCAGCAGCAGGAGGCCCCATTAGCTAAAGTGGTGCTTCAGGTTAAGAACAGTTTCAGGTTAAGTATGGACCTCCGGAACGAATTAAGTACTTAACCTGAGGTACCACTGTACTTTGCTATTTGTTGCTAATGCAGTGAAATATTAGCTACTCAGAAGTAAGTACCATGGGGTAAATATAAAAGAAAAAACAACAGAAAGTGGGTAAGGTTTTGTGTACTTGAAAGACTCTCTTAGAACAATCCCCTTGATTTGTCCTTTTCTCCCACAAGCAGGCAAAAGACCCAGCTAAATTGTCTGCTTGGTTTTCCATGGCCTAGAACAGGCTTCCTCAACCTCGGCCCTCCAGATATTTTGAGACTACAATTCCCATCATCCCTGACCACTGGTCCTACTAGCTAGGGATCATGGGAGTTGTAGGCCAAAACATCTGGAGGGCCGAGGTTGAGGAAGGCTGGCATAGAACCTAGATGGGGAAAAGAGAAAACACACACACACACACACACACACACACACATATATGATGGTGATTTAAAAGTTTACACTGTTGCATGTTATTATTTTAGTCATAATCTTGTCTACTAATTTGACTTCAACATATTAATAAAAAAATTATACACACAGAAATGGTAAATACCACATTCCTTGAGAGTTTGTTTCTAAACATGTCGGGAATAGAGAACACAGCTTTTCATACACAGCTGTTGTTTCCCCCCACAATGCTCACAAATGTTTGC